AGATTACATAAATGTTTCTACTGATGTTACAATGTTGGATAATTTGAGAAAAGATGCAAATGAAAAAGGTATTATTTATGATAATCCGAATAAATTGAGTATAAACTATACAGAAGATATATATGATACTCTATACAATAAAAAGACCTCTATTTTAAACGAATTAAACAATAAAGAATTTGAAGAAGTTGAACATAACATTAAATCGGATATATTCAAGTAAGTTTTTTTTAAAAGTATTGTAAAATATTCAGTAAATAATTATAAATAATATTTTTTACGAAATAGTTATGAACGATATCTTTTTATACAGAAGTGAAATTGATGAAAATATATCATTAAAAAATAAGTTACAAATAAAAAATATAGTAAAAAATAATGATACTCGACAGAATATTCTAAAGATATCTTCAAAAAAATATAAAAAGATGGAAGTAATGGATCTAAATGGACAACTTATATTAGCACAAATAGATGTTTATTTAGCTTGTAAAATGTTTGAAAAAGTGCAAAAATTGTTAAAAATTTTAAAAAATAAAATTAATGATATGTCACATATAATACATAGGGATGCTTGTAATATTATCCTTGAATTTTATTCTTCAGACAAAAACCTGACAAGATTTTTACAAATATATAATTATATGATAAATAATTCTATAATTCCTGATCCACAAACTTATGCAGCTGCTTTTGATATAATTAGCACGATGAAAAATAAAAAACATCAAGCAGGTAATTTAAGTGTATTATTCAATATAAGATGGAAATACTATATATTTTTATACTTTTAGACTTATTTGATAAATTCGAGTCAGATATGATCAGTAATGATATATCATTCCATGATATTTTTAATATGTCAAAATTCATAAGAGATCAATCAAAAAATATTTTGAAAACGATACGATTTTTTCGACCAGAATATCAACCAGAATATTCTATGCCTCAGATGTCATATAATTGTAAACTTTTAAATCGTATTAGTGAAATTAATTCACGTGAAAATCCAGTAGAAGGTTTATTATCTCTTCAAGACTTAAAAAATTCTTTAATGATGCAAATAAATCAAGAAAATCGATTTATTATACCTATAAAGAGTGTTGAAAAATTCGATCCATCAAATGATGATACAGTTTCATATTGTGTAAGTAATTATAAAGAGTTATAACTTAACATAAAATCCTTAAATTTAAGGTGCTATAAAGATTTTTGCTTTTCAATACAATATTATCTAAATACATTTGTTTCTTATTTACTCTTTATCTAATATTTTATTAGAAACAAAGGTTAGCTGATTTGGAATCCTCTTGGAGGGAAGTTGCTTCGAAAGCTTTTGAGAAGAATCTGAAGTACTTAGAACAAAAAGAACATGATTTAGAATCTTCAACATTAATTCTTTATCCATTTTTAAAGGTTCTTCCGACAGAACGATATATAAATATTATCTTACAAGAAATAAGAAATTTGGCAGATAATTCTGAATCCTTTTTTCTACCACTTTCAGTGTTATATGTAAATATGGGATTCTTAGTTTATAGGGAATACGAGGTATGTATATTATTTTTATTATATGAACATAAATATAATAAATTCCTTATATGCTTATATTAATTATAGATATATACTAAGAAAAATAATGGTGTTATGGATAAGGTAATTGATATTTATAATAAGTATTTAGACTGGTACTGTCAAACTGGTTCTTTAAATACTGAAAAAGGTGTAAATAGTCGTATTGCATGGAGTAAATTTGTATATGAAAATCAACATTATGGTGCTTCTTTGGATAAGGAATCTATACAATGGCCTTATATTGTGTGCATAAATATAGGGAAATTTTTATATCAGATCATCATAAATGATATCAAAATTAACACAGGTTCTCACACAGCAAATCCATCAATGTATGAGAAACCAGCTTTTTATACACTATTCAGAAGTAAAGGAAAAAACCTGATAGAACAGGTTTGTTCATAAATGAATCTACTTATATATTTATATCTTATCTTTGATTCTTATTTTTCTTCTTAAATCTTAAATAATAATGTTATGTTTATTCAAGATTAAGCCTCATCCTAATTTACATAAGCTATATAAAGATACACAGTCAAATACATTAATATTTGAAGCACCATTTCTACCATCTCTATGTCCACCACGTCCTTGGATTTCTGTAGATTCTGGAGGATATACATTTTTAAAGACAAATTTTGTGAGAATTCCATATTATGCGGTATGTCTTCTATTGTAAACAACTTCAATTTTTATTTTGTATTAAATAGATTGGAACTCTCTCAAGTATTATGCAATGCAAAATGTAAATATAGATTTTGTATAATTTAGAAAGCTAAACAAATAGAAGCATTGAAGAGTACATCTCCAGGACAACTTTTCCCAGCATTTGATAATTTAAATCAATTAGGATCCGTACCATGGAAAATTAATACTGACGTACTCGATATCTTAATCAAGGTATGTATCGGAATAAAAAATATAGTTCGTAAAATAATAAATTTTATATAAAATTTTCACTAATTAGGTATTTCAAGATGGTGGTTCAGTGAAGTTAAATGTACCAGAATCGCCTTCCATTTTATTGTCTGTAGAAAATACGATAGAAAATATAAATGTAAAAGATAACAGTTGTATTTCGAAGACAAAACTGCAGCTAAAAAAAAAGAGAGAAGAAATGTATTCATTGTGGTGTGACTGTCTTTATAAACTATCTGTTGCAAATCACGTACGTTATTTCTATATTTTTATGATACAAAAGAAGAATCTCTTTATTGAAATATAATGATAAAAATAGATATATAAGAATAATAATAGTTTATTTTTTTTAACAGTATCGAAATAATGTATTCTGGTTGCCACACAATTTGGATTTTAGAGGAAGAGTATATCCTGTACCTCCTCACCTGACTCATTTAGGATCAGACTTAGCACGTTCAATTATGATATTTGCTCAAAAGAAACCTTTAGGTCCAAATGGCTTGGATTGGTTAAAAATTCATACTATTAATTTAAGTGGTTTAATGAAACGTGCAAATATTAAGGACCGGCTTAAATTTGCAAATGACAATATAGATAAAATTGTGGATAGTGCAGAACATCCCTTGACGGTATGTTTATACTAAGAAATAATATTATAAAAATCGCGGCTTTTTTTTTTCTTTTTTAAAATTACATTTGTCAATTAAATAAAATAATATTTATTTATCATAGGGTGATATGTGGTGGGCAGAATCAGCTGAGCCTTGGCAAACCTTGGCATCATGTATAGAAATAACTAAGGCTTTAAAATCTCCGAATACAGAAGAATATTTAAGTGGTCTTCCAATTCATCAAGATGGAAGTTGCAATGGTCTGCAACATTATGCTGCACTCGGACGAGATCAAATTGGAGCAGAAAATGTTAACTTACAATCTGCTGATACACCGCAAGATATTTACAGTGTTGTCGTTAATATGGTAAATAATATATAAATTAGAATAGTTGAGAACATAGTAAAAAGAAAAATCAGATTTTTATTTTAAATATGTGATTTAGGTTGAGGATTTAAGATCACAAGATGCAGAAAAGGGTGTATTAATTGCAAAACTGTTAGAAGGACATATAAATAGAAAAGTTATAAAACAAACAATAATGACTACTGTTTATGGTGTAACCAAGTATGGTGCTAGATTACAAATCTTGAAACAATTAAAAGGTAAGTGTAATATACTTACTATTATTTGTAAGAATTTTCAGGAGAAGCATAATAAAATACTTATCTTATTATTACATAAGATTTAGAGAAGTTCCCACAAGAACGTTCTTGGGAAGCAAGTACATACCTAACTTACAAAACATTTGATAGTTTACGAACAATGTTTAAAAGTGCAAGAGCAATTCAAGATTGGTTCACAAATTGTGCATATATTATTTCAACGATATTTGGTGAACCTGTTGAATGGATTACACCTTTAGGATTTCCAGTTATACAACCATATTCTAAATGTAAAAAATCCTATAATCAAACAAATAAAATAGAGTTAGTACACAGTGTTACATTGATTTTTACAAGAGAAGTTATATTTTTGAAAGCTTTATATTTTAATGTATTTTTTCCCCATTTACAGGAGAGTAGATACTCTTAAACAAAAAAATTCATTTCCGCCGAATTTTATACATTCTTTGGATTCTACTCACATGATGCTTACTAGTTTATTCTGTGAACAAAATGGCATGACATTTATGTCAGTGCATGATTGTTATTGGTCACATCCTTGTACTATAGATCTAATGAATAAGGTAATTAATTGTAATAAACGTGTGAACATATTAGTTTTATAATGTAAAAATTTTCTTTTATAGATTTGTAGGGAACAATTTGTTGCCCTCCATTCAGAGCCTATTTTGGATAATTTTTCAAAGTATCTTCATGAAAGATATTTAAAGAAAAGGTAACTAACATTTTTGATGCTATAGTTTTATATTAACTTTAATAAATAAATCAATCAATTAATTAATTATTTTCAGCAATCCTTTATTGGATACGTTTAATGAAAAAGAAATAGAAAATATAAAAAATAATTTCAATTCTGTACCAGAGAAAGGTTCGTTCAAACTTGAGAATGTTTTAAACTCTGTATATTTTTTTAGTTAACTACCTCAATCTACTCATAACTAAGTCAGAATATAAAATGTACTATATTAATAATGTATTTTTACTTTCATTATTTTCATATAATTATAGATCATTATGATAAAAAAAAATCATGTAAAATATGCCATTTCACAGACTTAAAGTGTTAAGAAGAATAATATGAAATTAGTAAATTAAATTAAATTAAATTAAATTAAAAAAAAAAAAAACGAGAAATGAAATTCATTTTTGTCCTATATTATTGGCTTTCATATTTTCCCGAAGATATATTGTTTGTATTAAATGTTTATATACATTTAGAAAGACATAGATGGCGTTGAATCTTGGTACAGTATTTACATAGACTATGCTCTATATGTTCAAAAATATTTAGAGGTTTATGTTGATGGTGTTTGGTGTCTCAGTTAACTGCAGATAATGACGAAGTTAATTTAAATTTCAGTCAGTGATGCTTTGCGCTAGGTGTTTTTAAGATTTAATTCTATATATTATTCAAGTATTATTAAATTAATAATTCACCGGTTCATAAAAATTTATATAATACGCATTTAATAACCTAATATCTAAAAATGGCCGATAAATTCGTTGAGAATTCAGAGGAAGATAACTCCGTTACAATGCTCGATGTTCTCCAGGAAGAAAGTCAATTGGAAGAAGATGCATATGCAGTCTTAGGTGCATCCGATGATAGAAATTGTACTTATAACAAGGTATGATAATTATATTTATCAAATTAATATTTGGCGACTCGTAGAAATATTGCGTTATATTATTTACACGTCACACATCATGTATTTCGACGTATTTGTTATACAACATTTTAGAATTGCATTATCTAAAAAAAAAAAAAAAATGGAGTATTGAAAAATACGCCACATTACAGAAGTTCGAGATTACAGGGATATATTAGACAGGCACTATATGCCTGCAAAACATGCAGTTCGCAAAAGAATATACGTGCAGGTGTTTGTCTAGCATGCAGTTTTCATTGTCACGAAGGACACGAGCTTGTTGAATTATATACTAAAAGAAATTTTAGATGTGATTGTGGAAATTCTAAATTTGGAAACAAGGAATGCAATTTGGAGAAGGTAAAAGATTTGTAATGGATTGTTTAAAAAAAAACAAAAAAAAAAAAAAAAAAAAAAAAACTATGAAAAGCAGATAGTAAACATTTTCTTTTTACAGTCCAAAAGTACAATGAATATTGAAAATATGTATAATCAAAATTTTGATGGCGTTTATTGCACTTGTGCAAGACCATATCCAGATCCTGAAAATGAAAACAATGATGAAATGTTACAATGTATAATATGTGAAGATTGGTATCATTCTAAGGTTAGACATTGTTAATACATTGTTTTACTAATCATAAGTATAATTATTAATAATATTCATTATTAAAAAAATTTTTATCTATCTATTTTATCTAGCATTGATTTGATATTTGTATTGTTCAGCATCTTGGGAGCAAAGATGTACCAGGGGGTGATTCATATGAAGAAGTGATATGTGCTGATTGCATGAAAAAACATGACTTTCTTTGGAGATATGCTACAAAATATTCAAGTAAGTCAATCATTATTAATATTTTATATACTGTAATTAATAACCCAAAATATTATTATTTTAGCAATGCAAAATTCTACTATATCATCTGAAAAGGGGGAAGAAATATTGAATGTTGAAAATCTTCCAAATGGTTGTACAATGCCACAAAAAAGTTTATCAGGTGTAACAGGTAGCTGTTTTTGGTTAGAAGGATGGAGAACTTCTCTATGCAGTTGTGAATCATGTAAAAAGGTATAGTTTTTTTATTTCATCCAAATGACCTATTATAAAAAAATTACTAAATTATTGAAATGTTCATAATGGCCTTTACAATACATATCATTTTTTTTTTTAACAGATATATAAGGAACAAGATATATTATATTTATTAGATCCAAAAGATAGTGTGCAGGCTTATGAGGAAGCAGGTAAAATAACTAAGCGAGAATCACAGTATGAAAAAGGTATGAAGGCTCTTGCATCTTTGGATCATGTACAGCAATTAACTGCAATTGAAGGTAAGTAATATTTATCCTTATATTTTATATAATAATACATTGTATATAATATGATGTTAACAGAATACAACAATTTGAAAGAAAGACTAAAGGAGTATTTACAAAAATTTGCGGAAAATAAAAAAGTCGTTCGAGAGGAAGACATTAAAGAATTTTTTTCAGAAATGGAGTCAAAGAAACGTCCGAAAGTTGTAGTCCCAACGTATTGTCGTTAAAATGAAACATTTCTCTTGTAAAGATTAAATCAACAAGATTTTTAACATTCTAATTAAACGTAAGAGATCTTTAGAAAATATAATTGATGTCAGAAGATCTGTCAAAAGAAATATAATTAATAAATAATAATTTTTCTTTTTTTATATTAAACAGACAATTTTATTTTCTTTATTTTGAAGAGTATCATAGAGATATTATCATATCAATAAACGTAGTATGATTTTATCCATGTGATTTTTAACCATACCGATCGAACAATGAGGAAGGCAATAACAAAATCGCCTAATAGCTAACAATAAAAAGATTATCCTTTCAAAATCTGATAAAATTTCTAGATATAGATTAAAAAAAAAAAGCATAAAAAGTGATATTTTACAAATGAAATATGCCATAGGACGAATGAAGAAAAAGCAAGATTAATAAATAATGAACATAGTATTGGACATCTTTATTAATTAATTTTCTTATCATTCATTATTTTGTAGTTTTACAAATTGATTTTGAACATATGAAACCACTGTTATTATGTAATTCCAAAGGTAAGACTACTATCGGTTCGTTACAATTTGGTTTGTCCGTATAAATAGACCATGTTTTTTCAATACAGTCAAAAATTCCTGAAATAAAGCAAAGAAAGAATAAAGAAAAATTATTAAAAAAATGCGTAATTATGAAAGTTAAATATCAAAGAAATTTACCAGTAGCAATCGTTTTTATATAGTCGTCAGGATTTATATCTTGATAAACTTTATATTCAGAATCCGTTTGATCGCTAAGAATGTCTAATACATCTTGAAAACATTTAGGTGGCGGATGTTTACAAATTGCTTCCATTCTATGTATACTACTGTCTATTATCAAACCTTTTACTTCCGGAATTTTCAATCGTAAGTATCTGAAATAAATCTTTATTGAATTTAATGGCATTCATTATTTCATAGAGATTTCGACGAGAAATTTCTTACTTGTTACAATGAAAGATATGTTCACCCGGACTTGCAGTTAATATTGCAAGTTGCGATTGAGTTCCGTTGGCTTCGACAGGTCCAACTTCAGCGTTATGAAACATTCTATCTCCTTCTTGCATGAGAAAGGTCATATTTACCGAAAATCCTTCTGCTGCGCCGTAACCTTCATTTCTTAAAATTTCTTGTGCTTCCACATAATTTTCAGCACCGAGAAGAGCGCGAGTAATGAAATAACGTGCTATAATAAATATTATTGAATTATTGAAACTTTCATAAATTTTTGATTTTCGCATTGCATTTGAAACGTAAAATATTAAAACTTTGAATACATTATGCTCTTACGTGTTTTGCCAGATCTAAGAGTAGCCGCGCTGAGAGTATTAATAGTGAAAATTAAACCATGATGATTATAACCCATGGTATATCCTGGTAAAAAACCAGCATAACTTAATGACATAAATTTCTCTTCTCTGTAACCATCTTCGATAACATGAGCGCTTACAAGGTACCAATAGTTCAAGGTTTCACTCAAGGCATCCTCGTTATGTCCAAGGATTTGCTGTTCATTTTTACAAGTCAATTTTTAATATCATTTTAACAAGTAACATCGAAGATAATATACGAAGAATCGTTGAGAAACAGAAATAATAATAATAATAATAATAATAATCTTTTTTCTTACTTGTCCTGGTTGATTACAAATGATAGTTGAACATCCAACAGGCAGTGTATTTCCAGATGTTTCATCAACGACGTTTGGCAAAATATCATCTAGATGCATTAGGAACAACTACGAATGGTAAATAATTAGCGTCAATATTTGAAATCCTTAGTAAGTTGATGAGAAATGTAAAACAATGTACATAAAACTCGATAAGGAACTAGAAAGGTAAACGCAATTATATTGTTGATTAGATAGGCTGTAGCTAATTGCGTCTTCGTAATATTTCGTCAAAGTCTAAATTTTCAATTTGAATGATCAAATTAAAAATATATCTATTTTTAAAACATATCACTTTTATATTACTGATGTATATTGCATATAATTCACTAATGAATAATAAATAATAACTAATAAATAATAAAACAACGACAATATTTTAGTAGATAATTCAAGCCAATTATGGAGTGTATTAGATAAAATAATACAAAAAACTGAATTTTTTATGCAACATTACCTTATAGAAAGGAACATTGGCACCTTCCGCGGTTCCCTGAATTTCTCTGATATATTGCGGAAATTGTTTTTTTACACATTGTAAAGTATCCTCATAGACCTTTCTACCTTCATCGGTATCATATAATTTCATATAATTTTCATTGAGCGGTCGGTAAGCTTCGATGTGATCTTGAATTAATTTGCTGAACGTACGTCCCTAGAAAAAAAAAAAAATAGGAAAATAAAAAATATACCCAATTTACTATTACACTTTTTGAGGAAAAATATTTTCGTTGAAGTAACAATAAGAAAATTAATATACATCATTTAATCCTTAATATATATCATTGTTTTAATATTAATAATATCAAAATAATGATATTTTATATATTTTCAATATTTCACGTCGAATTTATGAAATTTGAAAATTGTAGCAAGACATTATAGTTTGTGCGAATGGAACACTAAGATAATATCTAAATTATTAGTTGTAAGTTAATTATACAAAAAGATCATTGATCGATCGTACAATGTCTTTGTTACGCGTTCGATATTTAAATTCTTATGATTTCTTGTAAATCCGGTATTTACATTATTTCTTTTTAACTTGAATGTGTCATCTAATGTTCTTGCATCGTAAAACATCTAAAGAATAGTGTTATTTAATAGTAGTGATTCAGTGCTATCTAATCGGCTTCTGCAATAAATCCTGTTGTAAAAAAAGAAAAAAAAGAAATAAATAAAAGATGGTCTATTTCAATGCAAGAATCATGTTGTGCAATTCTAACACAAATTCACAATAAGGATTATCATTAAATTATGTCATAGAAGAATAATAATTCTTATCGTTAATTAAGAACGAACATGTAAGTTTATTAAAGAGATTGTTTTGAATAGTTATACATAATATACCCTCTATTTTTTCGCGTTCTTTGATAAAATCATAAGAGAACGTAATAAAAATATTGTGAGATTAAAATGAGATCTTGGAAGTCTAGTATTCATTTCAATATATTATCTTGCACACACACACACACACACACAAACGTTCTCATCTTATCGAAGATTTATTATTTTTTTTTTTTTCTTTGGTTGCACCAAATCGTTTATCTTTTGATCAGTTTTTATTATTTATCTGAACGACAATCAATTTTTCACGGACAATTAATTCTCCGTGTGTGACGCTCAACAAGTTATTTTGCTTTTCACAATTTACTCGATCGTTCGTATCACAATATTTGCTTGGTTGATATTGTAATATTAACTTGACATATCTGATAAGGAAAAATCAAATGCAACAATGTCACTTGTAATTTATTATTATGTAATAATTTATGTAACGCAAATTAGGCCTAATAAATAAATAATGAGAGATAAAATGAAATAATCGATCGGGTATATGGAGAAATAACTTCAATGAAATTTCAAAATTGGATCTGAATAAAAAGCATTTTTTTCTCCCTTTGTATTAAAGTAAAGCATGTACACAAGATATGACGATAATGATGTATTTCGTATGACATCACGTTTTCTTACTTTTTTTTTATCTTTTATATCTTTTTTTTTTCTTTTTCTTTCCTAAAATTTCATTATTCAAATTTATATCACGGCAAAGTCTATGCTATACAATTCTGATTTTGCAGTCGTAATGTACAAAAGTAGTAATACGATTAACGTAAAAATTAGATGTGTTATCGTAGGTCAACGATCTACTCGTTATCATATAAAAATCTAAAAAATATTAAATCTACATACGTATATATTTTCATGCGTTCATTCATGTATTTAATAAAAAAAAAAAATATCTAGAAATAATGTCAATATTAAAAAAGAAGTCAAACATGATTATCGAACATGATTACCATATATACATATATTATATCGAAGAAAAATGTAAAGAACTTACGATGTCGAATCCAATATCGTAATAAGTTCCTCTAACGTGAATAATCGGTACAGCATTTCTTCTACCAATGCCTTTCGTTTCTTTACCGTTTTCAATTGGTTGCTGCATTTCTGAAAACTGAAATTAATTTGAAACGAAAACATCTTTGAGAATAATTCTTATCAACGTCATCGCAATATGTTAGTTTCATTATCGCGTGTTAATGATCACTAAAATAAATAAAAGATGTATAAGTAATTGCTTTTTATAAATAAGGCGTTACGTCTGGCTTTAAGATAAAGAGAAGTTATAACGTATAATATAATACTATGGATAATCCAATATACTATACATACAAATGAGAATGTATGTTGATAAACACGCAACCTAACGCTCTTATTGATCCAAGTACTTTTTGCTTTTATTAATTTTTTATTTTTAATTAATGAGAACAGTTACGTCGTACGTTTTACATACGATAATATCCTTGCTTACTTTCTCTCTATCTAACGACATTTCATATTTTCAAAAAGTATCGAAAAGTCAAAATTTACTCGCGTGCTTGCTTTTTTTTTTTAGATCTATCAAATTTTGATTGATCGCATTATCAAATTGAAATTAATTTTAAATTTCAAGTTATAATTCTAAAAGAATATATATATATATATTTATATGTGGATAAGGCTTATAAATACAAAAGAATCGATACAATCGATTTTTCAGTCTTCCTAGATGTCCGAATAAACAGGACAGTAGTCACGAAACTATGAACGATTGTTTAACACATTCGATTTTAGCGATTTTAATTATATAAACGATTTTTATAACGATATATATTTTTATCAAAAAAGAAAGAAAAGAAAAAGAAAAAGTAATAATAATAATAATAGTAATAGTAATAATAATAATAATAAAAAAAAAAAAAATGAAAAGCCTGTAGAATTGAAAAGAGATTGGGTGATCCTGTTGGTCTTCGTAAAACGAAAAAATTCATAAGCGACAAGCCATTTAATTATATATTTACCATTTAGAAAAAAAATTTTGAAGTTAAGAAAAATCCTTAAATTCCTTAGGGTACTTAAACTTTCAAAGTTTCAAAGAACGAAGAAAATCGAGCAGAGTTTCTAATGAAGGAGGAACTACGACGATGATCGTTTTGCGACTGTCGAGTACTGGCTACTTCTACTCTGCCAGGAAGACTGCTAAGCGTGTAATCTAACTATAAGTTCTATCGACTTATACCGACTTCCACGCCGCTACCAGTGGCACGAACAATCCGGCCAGGTAAGAAAAAGAATTCTGTCTATACTTGCTTCGTTGAGATAACCTTGATATTTACACGTGCATGCGTTCGTTCTCTAAGAAATCAAAGAAAATGATCTTTGCGAAATTCTTATGCGATAATAAATTGAAAACAATCAATAAATATAGAACAAAAATAACAACGAATTCTTTAATATTATTCGTTAATTAATTAATTATCCCATTTCGTTTTTAATCATCCGATTGTTCATATTGATTTCGATGAAGAACAAACGATGGAAATTCATTTGCAATCTTTCCGGTTTCCCTTCTCGTTACCCTTTCCTTCGCAATTTCATTATGAAATTGCTCACCTACGTCAAATTCCTGCCAAATTTCCGTTATCTCGTATTTCCTATTGATATTAAATTGGATAGAAATTAGAATCTCGTTACTTCTATTAGCCATTGTGGTGAACCGTCACGTAATATTGAATTATCTAATCGAACCTCCTGTAGATTATTATCGAATTTATCAGATTTGAGATTTATTTTTTTTTTTCTTTTTTTTTTTTTTTCTTTTCTTTTCGTTTATTTTTATCTCTATGCGTGTCACTTCCGAGAAAATCCGTAATTATGTTCGCAACATTATTTCGATATATGCATATACATATGCATATACATATGCATATACATATATATATATATATATATATATATGTATATATATTATAGATATGTATTTATTACTCTTCGTACCTGGTATTTTTTACCGCATGATTTACATCTTAATAAGTCATCCATTGTTCCAAAGTTTTGCCCTCTCCGAAGTAATTTGCGATTAACATTGATTGTACGTATTATTAAAGTTTCATTGTTCGTTGTAATGTCTAAACATTATATTACCAAATCGATTAGATAAAAAAAGGAAGAAAAAAAGAAGAAAAAAAAAAAAAGAAAAAAGGAAACCCCCCTTGTATGTAATACCACGTGTTCTACGAAACAATTTATTTTTTCAATACATCTTTTTATTTCGATATTTGTCATAAATTTAGGTAAGGATTTATACTATGTCTGACTAAAGTTAGAGCATGACTACTGAAACCTTCACGTTAGATATATATATACGATAAATGAACGAGAAAGAGAGAGATAGAAAGAGAAAGAGAGAGTTCATTCGTATCACTTCGATACATTCTGTCAATCGACATCTATTTTCTTGTCATTTATCCATCGTTTTATCCATTACTCTGATTCATCGTGACACTAAAACTTGTTCGGCTTAGACGTATGTCTAATCAAACAGCCGTGTTGAAATTACGCGCCAAGAAAAGCGTCGTCGGGCAAATTACGAAAGTAATAATGTAGAAGCAAAATAAATATTTAAAACGTGATTATCATTAAGTTACTTAGTATTAATTATTAGTATTAATTACTATTATTATTATTATTATTATTTACGAAATGTGTTATTTATTTTCTCCTTTCTCTCTCTCTCTCTCTATCTCTCTATCTATCTATCTCTCTTTCTTCTCTTTCTCATGAAAGTGTTGAAAGAATCAATACTAATAATTAAATCTTATCGTTAGTCCATCTTATTGAACGTACAAGATACGAACGAGTTTTACGCAGTTTCGAGATCGATTAGGATTGATAAAAGCTTCTCCTCGGTTTTTCTTTTTTTTTTCTTCTCTCTTTCTTTCTTCCCTTCTCTCAAGAAAGAGTTTAGAGATCAATTCTAATAATTAAATCTAATCGCTGATCTCTCTCTCTCTCTCTCTCTCTTTTTCTCTTGTCAAACGTCCAAGATTCGAATCAGTTTTACGCAGATTCGAAATCGATTACGATTGATAGGGCTTCTTGTTTTCATGTTATTTTTCTTCCCTCTTTCTCTCTCTCTCTCTCTCTCTCTCTCTCTCTCTCTCTCTCTCTCTCTTTCACCAAAGAAAGAATTTAGAAATCGATTTTAATAATTGAATGTAATCGTTAATTTATCTCTGTCTCTCTTTCTCTTTCTCTTTCTCTTTCTCATTAAAAGTCTAAAATTCGAATGAATTTTACGCTGATTCAAGATCGATTATTATTGATAGGCTCATCGAAATCGAGAGAAAAAAGGAATGGCGTAATATATATTCAAACGGTTGAATGCTTGAATGAAGAATTATTGACGAGCTCGTTAGTTACTAATACTTATGAAATAAGTATGGTGCATTATCCTCATTAGTGGAAACTTATTTTTTTTCTTTTCCTCTTTTTTCTTTCTTTCTTTCCTTCTTTTTTTTTTTTTTAACGATCGATTTCATAACGAAGAAGGGTCAAGGATAATATGATCGAAAGCGTTACGTACTTACGGACAAATACTTTATCTCCCTTGAGTGTCGGACGGTTTCGTTTCGGATTCCTTTGGATCTATAAAATAAAAAGGGGAGACTGAGGGAAAGAAATAAGAGATCCAACTCATCTTACATCTCTTGTGAATTCTATTGTCGAATCCTTTTTTTGCTCACTTCCTTCGACTACTTCGACATCGAACGAATGTTAATATCGTTCGAGATATCGTAAAGAGAGAGAGAGAGAAAGAAAAAAAAAGGATGATAAAAAAAAATGCATCCAATTCTTATAATCTATGAATACATAAGATTGTACGATTAAAAGGATTGTATTATTTTGTATAAAAGAAGAAAAAATTTTTTTTATATATCTTTTAAAATATTTTTTCGTCTTTTAATTTTATCTTCTTTGTCTTTTATGCACAAAAGTAACATGCTTTTTTTAGATTTTCTGGTGTTTTTTCCTTCTAATTTTTTTTTTTTTTTTTATTCTCTTCTTTTTTCACAGCGATATGCTTAAATTAAGATTATCATAGCTATTCTTGATAAACGTCCATGTATGTATATATATATGTATGCATTTGTATGTATATGAACTGTGTACATCTCGAAGAGAAAACATGCGAATATTGTATTGTTTGTATTAATGAAGGATACCATAAAAAATTAATAGTTTACTTTTAAAATATCATCACTTCTTTATAAAGAAAAAATACATTATAAAAACTTCTCATTCTTGTATAATTACAACAGATTCTTAAGACCTAACGAGCACAATTTTTATAATGACATTGGCCCTCTTTACGTCTCACCGATTACAAAAAGTTTTAACAATGCGATTTTTAATTGAGTCACGTTAATTAATATACATCCTATATATCGAATACTCGTCGATTAGCAATCTGTTATGGTAATATCGGATTGCATTGAACTTGTTATATGTGTAAGGAAAAGAAAAAAAAAAGCATTACTTTTTTATTTGCAAATATAATAGAGATATCACTAATTTAAATTTGTATTCTATCTATTTATGATAAAAAGTTGACTTTATATTATATTACCTTGTACATAGTAATATGTGGCTTCTAGATTTTCCGGTTGGTGTCATTTAAGCTAATTAAATCTTTTTCTTCTTATATGGCTTCCATTAAATAGATCATACTCCTTCCATATGTTTTCAGCTTAAACATTTTACTATATTATGCAATTCAAGGTGTATTTATTTCTTATCTCTAGAGAATTAAGAAAGAGATAGATAGAGAGAGAGAGAGTGAAAGAGAGAGAGAGAGAGAGAGAGGGAGAGAGAGAGAGAGAGAGAGAGAGAGAGAGAGAGAGAGAGAGAGAGAAAGGGAGAGAAATTGCATAATTTTTTGTAATGAAATAGAAATAATACATTGAAATAAGATTATAAAACATTATTAAAAAAAAAAAAAAGTTTCTATGAAATTCTTGTTCATATTTTTATTCATACACTTTATAGTCTACATATGTACACTGTTTAGATGTTGCACCATATTTATGCATCATTTACACGCATCACAAGAGGAGAATATTATAATGTCCTAAAATGATACCCTCTGAACCTTGGTAAAGTGAAAAAGAACATAGGTAAGAAAAACACACACGGATGTATCTCTGTGCAAAGATAACATTTTTATTCTATCTACCATAATCTGTTCGATTGATTTGAAACTTATGATTATTCATTTTGGATCGTTGTCAAGGATTTTCGTTTAAATTATAGGAAAAAAATAGAAAAAAAAAAGAAAAAACAAAAGAGAAATAGAAAAAAGCCATATTTAAATATAAAAATAATATAGAAATAAATTTTTTTTTTTTTTTTTTTTTTTTTTTTTTTCATCACATTCTATATTATATATATGGATTATTAATCCTAATAAGATTCTCACGAATGCCTTTTCTTTACCAAGCAAAATAACAATACGCATTTAATGTCATTTTTAAGAACTTATTAGACCTCCTAGAAAATAAACATTTCTACATCGTTCATGAAACAACATGAAGAAGATTATATTGTTTATGAGTTGAAGAAAAGGTTGAAATCTAAAAAAAAAAAAAAAAAAAAAAAAAATAAAAAAAAGACCACGTTTACATATTACCTTGCCTTGTAAATTCATAAAATCTAGAAATAAATTGTTTGTTAGATGTCTTATAATTTCTAATGCGTGATAATAATATCTACGATAATTTTAAAGCTAGATCAACGTTATTACAACGGTAATGTTTCTCAGTAAAAATTAGAAAACCACATGAGAATTCAGTCGAGAATACATACTTTCTTTTTTATATGCATCCATTACTTTTAATCGAACACGTTAGTCTGTATATATACGCACGATAGATAAAATGCGATTTAAATAAGAACATAATAGATTATATAAATCTGCTAATACCTTGAATTATCAAGATATAAAAAGGATATAATCTTATGAAACATTAGAAAATTAGATCGGATAAAGTTGTTAACAATATAATTATAGACTTTATCATAAATGTATTCAGTAAGTTGCATTGCAAGGTAGATCACACACTATGTTACGTTTTTTATGTAATCAGACTTATGAAAATGAATGCCTGTCATTTTACTGATCGATCAGTTTTATCAGTTGGAAATATTTATTTCTATTATTTTCTTTTTCTTTCTTTTCTTTTCTTTTCTCTTTTTTCTTTTTATTTTTTCTCCTTCTATATTGCCCTTAACGTAATAATTTACTGAAATATTTAATTATAGAAAAATTAATATGTTTTGAGAATGTTCATTGGATCAAGTATCAAATTTGAAATTGATAAAAATGAGCCCCGAAACTACGAACAGTCAAGGAGCTATAATTATAAACGATGTCCTGCTCTTATTCTGTTAGCAGTATTTTATATATAATATTATTATATGATATTTTTTCTGTTTTATTTATTTATTTTCTTCTTTTTTTTTTCTTTTTTTTTTTTTTTTTTATTTATTATGGTGCAACGTATAATTTTACTCTTCGGGATAGAAAATCTTTATATAAGCGGCATAGAAACGGAAGCTCATTTCAGCGAGATAAGGACGACTTCTCGAAATAGAGAATAATATCCCATAAAAATCATAAGAACATTTTCACAACGCTGATCACAAACACAAATATCTTTCGTTCAGTCTTGTATAAAATTTACTCTCGTAGATTAAAGAACAGTCTCAGCCATGGATATGGCAATTTCGTTAACGCCAGTAACACTAACTTCGAACAAAAGGCTGTATCAACCCCAAGAAATATTTACTCTCACGATCCTTTTCAACAAGTAGTTGCATGTTTTGCTCTTTGTGCAGCGATACGTTGACTTCGCCGTAATGTACGTGGTGCTGTTTCCGTATCATTTTCATCTTCCGATTCAAAATGATAGAATCCAGTTTTACCAGAATATCGCCAACTAATTATCGCACCATCCCACTATAAATGAAATCATTATATTTAAAGAGTCAAACTTTGTTATCTGTTATGTATATATAAAAGAAGAAAATCTATCATATTTACCGAAGTCGAAACAATTTCTTGATGATATGGATGCCAGCTTACATCGCGCACACATTTTTTGTGACCCAATAATGTATTAACTATTTGTCCGGTTAAAACGTCGTAAACTAAAGAAGAAGAAGAAGAAGAAAAAAACCACAATTCAGTATAATCAATCAATATAATCTAATATATTGCTAATAGTTTAATATATCAAAAAAAAAAGTTACTTATAACTCTCCCTGAAGCACATCCCGTATAAATGTATCTTTGACCTGTTGTTGCAGAAGGAGAAAAGTGACAGCGTATCAAGGTTTGAAGGACGGAATGACCACGATACGTCATGATACTTGTATCACCTTCTAACATGTTTTTAGCTTTAAATACTGCAACAGCACATAATGACAATTATATATTAATATATTAATATAATAATACAATTTATGTAATAGTTATAATGTAAGTAACAATTTATATTGTTTTTACATTTTCTGGGTACTCTTTGCCATCTGTAGTCCCAATTTTGATTCGCAACTGCTTTACGAGTATTTTGCTCGCCATTTTGATCAGAAAATGCGCGAACGTCCCATAATTTGATCGTTTGATCTTTACTATTTGTAACCAAATATCTCCCATCTCCACGTGGATCAATATATGTTATACCATCCATATGGCCTGCTAAAACACCAACTGGATGTGGATCTGTTTCACTAAGGGTTCTCCTATCCCATACCTAAATCGTAATATCGTATTACACAAATATACGTATACGTAAATAATTTTTGTAAATTATTTACAATAACTTTACCTTACACAATCCATCGTCTCCTGCACTGTACAAAATTTGAGACGTGTTATCAGCAAAGGCAACAGTATTTACATCATCGTCATGACCTTCGATCTGCAAATTAATAATACATATAATAAATAAAAGTTTATATCTTTTATGAAACAATAATATTTCTGAAACAAACCCTAAAAGCACGCTGATGACATTCTCGGTCGTATACATAAAGAAAGCCATTATTAGCACCACCTAAAATTTCTCGACCATCGCTAGAGAAGACTAGAGAGAATATACAAAATCTTCGATCTCCAGGACATAACGATAATGACTCTTGCGTATTCGAATCTCCATAAACAGGACAAAGATATACTAAGGAAAAAAAAGTTTCGTTATAATTATTGATGCTTACAATTAAAACTATAATATATTTAATTAATAATATTACTTACAACATTCTGACCAACTTGAGTACACAATATAGTTTCCATCAGGACTGAATGCAGTGTCTAAGATACTCCAACCTACGTCACGTGCAGAAATTTTTTTAAATTCCACAAATTTGCCATCATCGGTATGGTAGAGGCGTAACAATTTATCTGTGAAAAATCATAATAATAAACATTAATTTTATATACCAAATGATGTTTATATAAATTGTAATATACCTTGGCTTGCAGTGAGAAAGAACCTTCCATCTTTTGAATAGGAACCGCAAAATACTTTGCTATTATATTTTGCCACTTGACGTGACTTGTTCGGTAAGAAGTTGCTGCTTATTCTACATTTTTCACCTATACTAAAACCAGAACCAAGGGATCTCTTTTGAATCATTGATGCAATAGATAAATTTTTGTTGGCGGAATCTTCTCTAAGGCCACATGCTTGCTTAGTAGCTAAACTTATTTCACTTTTCTGTAATATAGAAAATAAGGTAAAGTAACATGTTATATTTCATAGGGAAGTAATAAAAACCTACATCAAGTCTCGATGTGTTCGGTAGAGACATGATTTTTGGTGGCAGTACATTCGCCGCATATTCTTCGTCAGAATCATCATGATCTGAAGCTATGATATGTACTTGTCCACTAAAAGAAAAAAGAACAAAAAAAAAAAAAGAATATCACCACTTTGTACAAAGATTTGTATAGTACAATTTGAATATATCTATTCGAATGTAACTTTATCAATAATTTAAAAAGGTTTAATTGTTAATTTCCATGCCACATTTCTTTTTCAAATATAGAAACCATTGGAATTAAAATGGAAGATCACTTCCAAAATTTTCATGTACATGGAAATTATATATATATAATGCGAATAATAAAGAAAGTAAATAAATACATAGAAAAAAGAAATTACGGAAAATTCATAAGGCAATAACGACGAGATCTCAAGTAGAATATTCTTATGTAGGAAAAAAGAACAATAATCGTATCACGTATGACGAAATATAATGACCACATATTTCAAAGAACGGTGTAATAAAATAATAAACACGAAAGAGAGAGAGAGAGAAAGACAACGTTCGTTTATTCCAGCGAACTAAATAACTGTAAAAGTTTTTAAATATTTGAACGATATTTATGAAATCCTTGAGATATAAAGATAAGGAGGTTACATCGTTGACAGCTTCGACGTCGTCAAAGTATCGAAATCGAACAGTAGAGAAGAATGACGCAGAAAAGCAGAAATGTAATATAATTAGAATTTATTGAAAATAACGCGATATGTAAAAAGTGAATGGAAGCGTTGTCGCGAACTGATGAGTAAGGATTATACTTAAGTAAAATCATAAGAGAAGAGGTTAGGAAAAACACGAGGGGAAGAGGGGTATCAATGCTCGCGCGTTTTAAGTTAAAGATATTTTGGTAAACCTTCGTATCAGATATTGTAAGACCGCGGCCAGGGTCGGGTCCTGCTCGAAGTCCATACTACGAGAGTTGAAGCCTCCCATGCAGCGAGAAAATAAATTATATTTACTGTTGAAAAGCAAACAAGAAAAATGTCGGAAGGTTGTGTGGTGGTAAGTGTAGCTTGGTGGTGATAGTGATGATGTTGGCTCTGTGGTGGAGAGTATTGGAAGGAGGTGAGAAACAGGCGAAGTCGGTACTAGTATATAGTAACTCTCTCAAAGAGAGCTAAGAAACGATTGTGAATTGATTTTTATCTTTTTTACATTTATTTAACACATATATGTATATATACATTCCAATATGTTTATTTTCTCTTTTTATCTTTGATCTTTCCTTTGACAAAATGAATTCGAGATATCGCAATGACGCTTTTCTTTGTGACTACGATGAACCCTAATAGATATTCTTTTGTTTGTCATCTGTATTTTTTCCTTTCCTTTTTTTTTCCTTTTTTCTTTTTTTTTCTTCTTTTTTTTCCTCGCGAAGTAAACTCTTTAAACTCGCCTTTGATTATGTACGATAAACTGTCATTGACGTTTAATTAAAAAACAGAACAATCGAAAAAAATCTCCCTTTACATAAATGCAAATCTTACGAATGATTAACATCATTTCATTTCTTTCTTCTTTCTTTTTCTTTCTTTTATTTTTTCTTGAATATATGTCATGTCTCGACTTCGTTCATAATTATAATAAAACGAGCAGTACGATTTAATAATTAACTTGCAAATGAATGATTTTGGCAAAAAAAAAAAAATTCGAATTCATTCTGATCGCAAGGATTTGCAAGGTAGAAAAATTAAATTTTACATACAATTTTACGTATAATTTTAAATTATGTATATATGATAAAAGAAAATCATTTATTGGATATGTATACACGTTTGTTTATTAAATAATAAAATAAAATTATATTTTTTAAAATTGAAATATTGCAACAATTTTTATTATATTATTTTTTATTGTATAAATTCGATGGATAGAAAAATTCTTTGTATTGTATATAATTAGAAATTGCACACGATAGATAAGAAATAATGCAAGTCAGACTTTAATGTTACGACAAATTAAATGAAATTGCATAGAACAATGCAATGTATATATATATATATATATATATATATATATATATATATGTATGTATATGTATATCTATAAAATATAGAAGTAGCGATATAGTAGTATAGACGTTCCTTTATTGGCCAAACATTCTATCTCTCAATTTGATTTGTACTTTTTTAGATTATTACTACCACGTGACTTGACAATAGACCAACAAATCTAAGATGGAGAATGGCGGGAATATTTGAAACGTTTAAATTAAATATCAATAGTCGATAAGTGAAAGGTCGATAATACAGGATACAATTTATTGAATTGAGACAAAGAATTATCGATAGGAAAGAAGTTATCTTTTATATTATCTTATATTTTAGACAGTTTTATTATCTTATATTTTAAATAGTTTTACTCGATGTTAACCATTCTATTAATGATAAGTAACGATTCTTTATAACAAATATATGGATAATATAGCTTGTAAATTAATGTCGATATGTAATATTTATATTTTACAATGAAAAACGCTATTCCTAATATAGATATGCAATGGAGAGAATATGAGAGAACATCAAGAATCCTTATCCTGTCTCCAAAATGTCGAAGGTATTAGAACTAACCTCATTTAAAGAGCAAAGTTTTAATTATGAGCTTGAATTTCCGGTATTTGCCTGGAGCGATCGAGAAATTTGCACGTTGATCGTCATCCAAAGATATCTAGTATTCCCTTGGCAGTCGTTCATTCATCTATATACGTATAATCTATATATGTATTAAAAGAATCGCGTAGGCGTAGATAGAAAAAAATAAAAGGAAAGATAGAAAGAGAGAGCGAGAGAGAGGGAGAAAGAGATACGGTATGGTGGACGAGGGCGGTATGCCCGGGGGAAGTGTCCTGCGCGTCTTCTTTACAGGGAATTACGTACCTTATTGCTTTTAAATTTACGCGTAGCGAGTACCATTAAAGATAAAATTCATGTTTCCCTCGACAGAAAAAACTAATCTCTTTTCCTGAAATCTCTTGATAAAAGGGATAAAAGCAATTTAAAAAGTCAAGATCAATTTAAATATTTTTTTTTTTAAAGAAACGAATAAAAATGAATTAATATGAACACGAGGACGTTCGATTTGTCAGCCGATTGCCGAGAACGTGTGAGCTCGTTGGAATCAATGGCCTTGACCTATATGAGAGAAGGATGCTCAAGGCCGACGTACATGGTCTGGGCGTTGAACAGGAGACGATATGACTGACTGGGGATGGAAGAAAAGGAATTGATAAAGGAGATTAAATTGAGGTGTTTTTAGGAAGATCGGTAGACGACGGGTAAGAAGAAGGTATGCGAGTAAGGGCGTACGAGTAAAATGTGTATCGATGAGAGGGAAAACGTCGCGAGAGAAGCAGTGGAGAGTCAGGAGGTGAGACGAGGCGAGGCCAGGCCAGGCCAGGTCAAATTCTATCCTCTGACCTCATATCCCCTAGCAGCCGCAGCTACCTGCAGCCCAGACCTATAATTTCCAGGCAGAGGCCTACACACCCTGGCCGGAGCCGGCCCGGAGCCGATCCGTACCTAACTATATATTCTTACTAACACAGCGAGGCATTAGGCGCTTGCGCACCTTCCTTTATACGGGAGAGGATTCAAAGTGGGCTGAGAGAGAGAGAGAGAGAGAGACAGAGAGAGAGAGAGAGAGAGAGAGAGAGAGAGAGAGAGAGAGAGAGAGAGAAGAAAGAGAAAGAGAGAAGGAGAGGGAGAGGGAGAGAGGGTGCTCCTGTTATCCTGTAAACAGGATCTTTCCTTCAGCCTTCCAGTCTCGCGACGGACGTCGATCGTCCTGCTGGAACATCTCGTGCGTTTAATTTATCAATACGAAATACTCTCAAGTTCAAGTTGCTTCATGAATACGAGTTCAAATACGTCATCGTTTTCCAAAAGATAAATCAGTATATTTGATTATATATATATATATATATATATATTTTTTTTTTTTTCTTCTTCTTTTTTTTCTTAGAATTTTGCCTTTAGTGTGTTACGTCTCGACCGGCGTCAATTCGTTTACAGTATATACTCAGCACGGAACTCTCGGCAACAGGTGAGATGATATTTTTTGATTTGCGATTTATGAATCGATGACTCCTTCCTTTTTTTTTTTATTTTATTATCTATTTTTAACATATTCGATAACAGAACAGCTCTTCCTTCCTTACGTTACGTTTAATCGACCAAAAGATATCAGATATCAAGATTTATGAGGCTGAATTGCTAAACTAAAGCACACGGTTCGTTTCGTTTGGTTGATGAAATGAAATTTGTTGTTAACAAAATTAATAGTCAAGTTCTCCATTGTATCTTCATAGGTCCTCGGATTCGCCCATCCATCTTGTTATTTAATTGTAAGATGGATTTTATTTATTCTTCTCAATTTTTTTTTTTTTTAATCTTCAAAAAATAACTCTTTTCATTGTTTCTTTATTTGAACTAGTCTAGCTTAATGATTTTTCGTTTTTTTCCTTTTTATCTTTGACTTCTTTCCTTTTTCATTTTTTGTTTTCTTTTTCTTTTTCTTTTTTTTTTGTTCCGTATTATATGTCCCTTTCGCAGAAATTTAATTAAAAATTTATTCGGCCATGCACGAGACTTTCGGTATTTCAATTCAACAATCTCCTTCTGTTCTTTCTTCAAAAGTACAAGAGAATTCAGTCTATTCTCTTGATATTGTCAAAGAACAAGTTAATTCCATTAACTTCGTAGGAGGCTTTTTTCTTTTTTGAACGTAACAAATGAATATGATAAGGCTTTATTTTCTTTCTCTTTTTGTTTTTTTATATAATCGTGAAATTTCAATTAAATATATTTCGCAGGATAGGAGGGAGATGGCGAGGGAGTGAGGAGGGGGGGGAAGGGAGAGGAAAGGGAAAAGAAAAAATAACGAAGGTGCAACAAAACAAAAAGTAAAGTTTTGATTGCTATCGTAAATAGAAGTAGAGTGCAGTGTGTCATGTGAATGAATGTATTAATAGATGAAACGTGAGATCCTTTCAATGTTCGCCAACACGTGTCATCAATATATCGTGCAATAATTCGAAGAGAAACGCAATTATCGTTGAAACTTATTTCGAATAACTCGACGTGTAACTCTGATTACAATGTTTGTTCCGTATAATTTTCCTGTTTGCAAATTTATCGACAATATGTTCGTGCGGATTAAAATATGTTCATGCATTCATAAATATATGTATCAAATTGCGCGATACAAGATTTCATTCGAAAAGTCAGACAAAGTCATGTCTGATCGATTCGTGATACGATCTACTGGAATTAATAGCAAATGATAGAGAGTGATCGGTTTTATTGTAAGGAAAAATAAAAGAGAAAAAAAATTTTTCTTTCTTTCTTCTTTTTTTTTTTTTTTCTTTTCTTTTCTTTTTATTTGTTATTCTCAATCGTGGGATTATATTTGAGATCATAAAAGATTCAGAATTTTGTTTTTGCGAAGAGAAAAATTATGATCGATCGAGAAAAAGTAATGAAAGTCGTTTGTTTTCGTCTTTTGTATGTACGATTGTAGGTGTCGTCGATATTAAAGGAAAGAAGGATGGATGGATGGATGAATGGATGGATGGATGGATGGATGGATGGATGGATGGATGGATGGTTGGTTAGTTGGATGGAAGGAAGGAAGGAAGAAAGAAAGGAAGGAAGGAAGGAAGAAGAGTCGATTCGATGAGGAAATGCATCCATCGAGAATCATATTTCCTGAACGGAAAGCATTGTATCTTACATTCTACGATGACTTGCCTTGCATTCCTTTGCTTTTTCATTTTCAATACCACCATAAAACGATCTTGCGTTTTATTAGAAACGACGAAATATATTATAACGCGATTAAATTCACCGGTAGAATGTTTATTCACTATTTTAGCATAGCTTTTCATAGGAACGTATAGGCGAGGTGTCATAGATATTTGTGAGATTAAGCCTGTGCATTGGATTGATGGCTTTAAAAACAAATTTAAGTGAGATCTAGCTCGACGATATGGAAACGAAAAGAGTGCTACTTGAAAGGTAAACCGATGGGTAATCGTGTACGATCGATTTTACAGTGGTACTACTTGCTTCTCTCACGTCTGCCAGTCTTTTTCCTTTGCTCTTTTTCTTTTCTTCCTTATTTTTCTCTGTCTCTATCTCTCCCTGTCTATTTTTCTTTTTCACTGTCTCTTACGTTCGCATGTTACCTTACAGATTATTTCTAGTATTTACTCAATGCTCCCTGGAACCTGTTTTCTTTGCCACATCCCATTCTGATGCGTGACCAATATCGCCTACAATTTCTAATTTACTTACCTACAGAAAGATCTTATCTCATTTATTATTATTTTATCTTTCTCTTTTACCTTACTGAATATCTGTTTCGTTAGATCCAAAAAAAAAAAAAAAAGAAAAGAAAAGAAAAGAAAAAAGAAAGAAAGAAGAAGAAATATTCATTCCGATCGACGAAACGTCATAAAATATATTATTTGTTGTGTTTCATTCGGTAGACAGTACGAAATAGCTCTGTTTCGCTGGATTGGATGAGATCTATTAAAGATACATCATGTTTGCAAAGTCTAAGAGCAGCAGTTCGTCCTCCAATTTTCAATTAGCAAATCCAATAAGAAATTTCTGCGAAATTCGGAAGCAAACAGCTACCGCGGGACCGGAACATGTTTGGCGTATCTACGATGCTTACAGTAAAGAGGACGGGAAGGTAATTTGTTTAATTGTTTTTCAAATTATAAGGAAAAAACGAAACAAAAAAAAAAAAACAGAAAGAAAGAAAGAAAAAAATATGACATAATTAATGTAAATTATTGTGACTTACGATTTATCGATATTAATATCGTATCGTGTTGAGATATGTGAAAATGTCGAGAGGATGTTTTCCTTGTTATGTTATTTCTAGTTAGACGATTGTTATCCTAATGCTTATAGTTCGTAAACTGAGTTAACGATTATACGATCGTTTCAAGTATGAGAAGAGAGTACCAGTTTACTATTTTCCTTTTATCCGTATTACTTAGATACTCGAAGGGAATTGAAGCGGAACGACAAATATTTACGTATTATCGCAACATTCGCTCTTTTCGCAAGAATCGTTTTCCTAGTGGTCTGTTGCGTTGGAATAATGACACGGGTCAAATAAAATCGATTAACACTACGAAAAAGAGAAAGAGAAAGAGAAAGAAAAGAACAAAAAAGAACAAAAAAGAAAAATGATGACTGACGAATGAAAAGGAATCGCGTTCCTTTGCGTATACGATATCGTATATCCTATATATATATATATATATATATATATATATATATATATATATGTATATGTATATAAAATGACGTTTCTTAGGGCTAATTCTTTTTTCGTCTTTTCTTCTTCATCAAGCGTGTCCTCGTTACGTGTACACTAGTATTACCTTGGACTGGTGTAAGAGAGTAACTTATCAAGGCACGGTAAAGATAGACAACTTGATCTTAACTATATAATGGAACACGAACGTGTTCAGCCCTTCTCTCTTATGCATCACGTTTCAAAGTCTTTCTCTCTCTCTCTCTCTCTCTCTCTCTCTCTCTCTTTCTCTCTATCTATCTCTATCTCTCTCTCTCTCTCTCTCTCTCTCTTTCTCTCTATCTATCTCTCTCTCTCTCTCTCTCTCTCTCTCTCTCTCTCTCTCTCTCTCTCTCTCTCTCTCTTTCTCTTTCTTTCTCGTGTGATCCGATCGATTAGAAAAAATGTCTGATATAAGTATTGACTACTATCCATTATTCTTATCTGTCGTCGAAATACGAAATTTCGATTATTTCACTCGTGAGTAAATGGATCTCGTCGAATTTTAATACAACGTTATCTCCATTCTTCGAATTAATTGGAGTAATCATATTATTCCAATCTCGACTTCTTTTATTTCTTATATATTAAAGATAATAATTCGTAAGATCGAAATTGTGAGATCATGAAATTAATTGAAAGGAAGAGATGAAATAAAAGAAGGAATCGTTCATTCGTAGGAAGTTTCTGTATTTCTCTTCGACAAACGTTCGGTGGAAAAACTTCACAAACCAAAACGCAAGGAAACTGTTACGGAAATATTACGGAATGGAGCTAAGGAAATGCAACGCTTTATCCATCCAAAGATATTGCAGGTATGGTACAGAGTATATATATATATATATATATATATATATATATATATATATATATATATGTGTAATACGATGTAATATGATGTAAGTTAAAAGGAAAAGATATTTGCTTCAAGAAAATTCAATTTACTTATCGTGCTTAAGGAAACCTTAAAAGGTAAAGTAAATATCCCATAAAACTGAGGAATTAGGTTGATCAAAAGTTTTAAATCATAAGTTCGATTAATTCCAAAGACTTATGATTTACTTAAACGTAAATATATTTTCGATCGTTCAACTATAATGAAGATGGACAGTTTTGCGTCCATTGTTTTTTCTCTTTTTATATTTTTTTCTTTTATTTTCTTTTTTTTTTTTTTTTTTTTTATTTCTTTTTTTCCATTTTTGAAAAATAATAAATTTAACTCGAGGTTATCCCTCGAGTTCTACTTTAAAAGAATCCTCCCCAAGATTTATAATTTTTCCGCTTGGAAAATTTAATATCATCTGCGATTTTGCATAAAATATTGAGAACTTAATTACATATATGTTTATACCCCAGGGGAGCGAGTCGAATTTTGATCCGCTAGATAAAAGGGACCATCCCTTTCGTATTATACAGAACAATCTGATATATCAGACAACACCCCTATTTTATATATATATATATACACACACACGCACACAAATATATACACATATACATACATATACACATACATATACACATATATATGCATATATTTAGGTACTATATTGCTTCATTGTAAAATCTTAACACATTTCCCGTCAAATCATTTTTGGGTGATAGTCATTTTTAGACTAGACGTTTTTGATATATGTATAATATATAGACTTTGATGAATGTATTACAAAATGATTTATTTTGTGATTTTTTTAAGTGAAATTGAAATTTGATTTATTAGTAATAAAACTAATATCTATAATTTGATATGATCTTATTCCTCTACTTGATTTCTTGTGATTTGATTTTTTTTATTCTTTTGTAAATTGAAAATATCATCTAATGATATCAATTGATCTATTAACGTGACAAGAATGTCATTTGTTCTGATAAAAATTCAATATATGTACATATATAGAAAATAATATACGTATTGAGAATATTTTGAAATCCTTTTTAATGATCTTCGTATAAATTTTGTAATTATCTTTCCGTTGACATTCTCTAGAAATCGATTCGCCGAATAAAAGATTTAATTGTTAGATATTATTTTCTTATTATAGGTATATAAAGTCGAAGAATGTCCAGAAACATTAGCCTTCGCCTCGGAACCGGTCTTAGCTAGTCTTGCAAATGTCTTAGCTTATGAAGAGCAACAAGAACTTATCAATAAACAAAATACATTGTCACAAAGCCATCGTCCAGTTTACATAAAAGAGTATGAATTATTGGATATTGAAATTAAATATGGTTTATTACAGGTAAGATTAATACGTTTAAAAGATATAGTTTTTAATTGACCATTTAGATACATATTTATGATAGACGTAATCTTTATGTAGTATGTAGTATATACATAACGTACATAAACGTATAATGTATATATCTACATGTATGCGAGTTATATAAGAGAAAAATGGCTTATATTTTATCTCATATTATAACGTCGTTTAAAGATTGCATCAGAGTTTGTTCGTTCGAGCTTTAAAGCGCGTTCCATCACTGGAAAATTGCGGTATTTTATGAAATACGTGAGATACGAACGAAGAGAAAGAATTTTTCAATTACTATATTCGTAACGGAAGGTAATTAATTTTCCAGGATAAAGGAAGAAAAAAAAATAAAAAACGAATTTGTAATTTCGCTTCGATAACGGGAACGTTTTATCGGATTTGCAAATATATCTATATATCGTATTTTATTTATTTATTTATTTATTTATTTTTTTTTTTCTTCTTCTTTTTCCTCCTATACTTCAGATAACGTTTATGCGAAAATAATATATGTACAAGTTGAGAATATAGAGTGCAATAAATACGAAGTTAAAATTAATATCAAATCGTATCATCATAAATTATCGTCTGTTAAATAATATGCCGATGAAAAAAATATAAAACATATTATATATTTTTATTCAATGTAGCATAACTTCATGCAATCGCGTAAGAGTAAATATTTAATAATTATATCTCGTTTTACAGATTACCGAGGCTTTACTATTTCTGCATACCAATTCTCATACCAAAATTCTTCACAGAAACGTTTGTCCGAGTAATATCATAATAACGAAAAGAGGAACGTGGAAGCTCGCCGGATTCGAATTTATAGGTAAGCGTGCAGCATCAAACTCGAGATCCTTTTTTTTTTATTTTCATTTGTTCAATCAATTTATTCGATATTACATAGAGGTGGTCAATGAGGTACCATTTACTATACAACCATGGACAAGTAGAATGTCAAAAATGGCCCAACCAAATTTGGATTACTTAGGTAAGAAAATAATTAGATCGATTGACGATCTCCTACATGTATGTCTTCATATGTTTTTTATAGCACCGGAAATCCAACAAAAAAAATTAGGAAGCTTTAGTAGCGACATGTATAGTCTTGGAATGACGATATGTGCTATCTTCAATCGAGGCAGACCCTTGATTCAAGCCAATCACAATTGTTCCGAGTACCTGAAGCAATTAGAAAATGTAAGTTATTAATGCATCCTTCAATTTAATGTGATGTAATTATGTATCTTTCTATCCCGTTTATATATCAAAATATTAACGAAATCAAAATTTATTTATTTATTTTTTTTTGTTTTTTTTTTGTTTTTTTTTGTTTTTTTTTTTCATTTAATCGGTACTTCTTACATATATGTAGCTCGATGATCGGGTCGGCATTATTCTACCATCGGTCGCGCTTCCTCTGAGAGAAGCAGTTTCAAGACTTCTTCAAAAGGATATTGATCTAAGGCCTACCGCTCAAGTTTTATCGATGATCAAATATTTCCGGTTGGTAAAAAATAATTCCTTTGGAAAATCTATAAATAGAAAATTATATATGGAAAAGAGAGAAATATAAAATGATATGTTCATGATACAGGGATCCGCTCGTGCACGCCCTTCAATTTCTGGATGTGAGCAAGTTAAAGGACTTGATGCAAAAGGAACATTTTTATAGGACGACCCTGAAGGAATTGTTGCCGTATATACCGAAGGTAGAAAAGACGATCTACATAAAAGACGACCGTATGATTCCGTCGGCTCGCGTTGTCACATGCACCACTTTAATACGCAGAAACTATTGTATCAACACATTTGGTGGTATCTCCAAGCTGAGCTGCAGACCCAGGAAGTCTTATCGGCGGTCCTGCAGCCGATCTTATACATCATTGAAATGAGTACTAAAGAAGAATACGAGAATATAATCTTTCCCACCTTGAGGTAAATCATTCTTAGAGGGTTAAGAATTGAAAAGCTTTCTCTTTTCGTCGCAGATAATCTGTCGAGCTTTATATATGTATATATATATAAGAGCTCTCTTTCAAATAATTTTTATTCTTATCTAAAAGATTAATAGCCTCTTTCTTTCTTATCGCTTTGCTTGTTCTCAGACCGCTCTTCTCGAATCGAAAATCGATTAATGGTACTGTAACATTGTTAGAAAATTTGCATGTAATATTGGAGAAGACACCCGAACAGTACATAGATTCGGAGGTTTTACAGATGTTATATACGAGTTTTGAGAATTCTACGATGCAAGTGCAGGTAAAATAACTTAATATATATATTATCTGTTAAATCATACTCGTATGAAAATACGAAAGAAAACGTTTTTGCATATTTTCCTTAGACGGCCGCTTACATAGCAGTAACCAACGTGACGAAATATCTCAATGATGAAGCTATAAGAAATATAATATTACCAAAGTTACTTCAGGCCTTCGACAATGGTACCGTCGACGAACGTAAATTGATGAAAGTGGTTTACTGTATATTAAATCGACTCGAGAAACAAAAGATCATAGACTACGTGTTACCCCTTCTGTGCAAGGTTAAATTACAAGAACCCGAGATCGTCGTTCGGGTTGTAAGTAAGTGAAGGCGCTCTTTTTCTCGAAAATGAAATAATAAATGAGTAAATAAAAAGTAAAAATAAAAATTCGCTTCTAATGCTTCGCGCTTCTATGCTTTCTGAGCTTTCTCAATGCAATTACGTAGAATTCATTCGAAAAGTAAGACGGATTATTTCGTTAAAATCATTTGACTTCGATCATCCACGCTAGTGTGTATCATTCATTCTGACTTGTAGATATTTACAAATTGATGCTCACCGATAAGAATTACGGTCTCTCCGTCAATTGGATGGCAACTCGAGCGATGCCCTCGTTACTTCCTCAAACTGTCAATCCAGGATTAAATTTGGAACAATTCATGTCACTTTTCCAAGTGCTTCAAGAAATGTTGAATCACATAGAGAGGTAAGCTTTTTCTTCTTTTTTTTTTTCTTTTGCTCTATTTTTCGTTTCTTTTTTCTTTTTTCTTTTTTTTTTTTTTTTTTGTCACAATATGATAGACCAATCGATTGATATCTATATTTTTTAGGAATCAAAGAAATAAGCTCACTCTAGACAATCTCTCTTTACCGAGTCCGGAACGTTATCGGCCTTTCCGACATCAGCATAGTACGGACAACATGCACGTACCACCGTTCAACATCCCGAATTTAAGAATCGATCAACGAAAGACTTCGTCCGCCGAAGATATGGCGAGAAAGAATAGCATGAGTAAGAAATATAAAAACTTTTCGAAGTAATTATATTGTTGAAAAATGTCTTTGAAAATTATCTTCTCGATCTTTACGATTAGCTGAACCGGATAGGACGGCCTCAGCCGAAAATATGGCGCGGAAAAATTCAATGTTCAGTACGTAATATTAACCATCGATAAGAAAATATTGATAAGATTAATCTTAACGATGGTCCTTTCCCATTTTTAGACGCTTTTGGAGGATGGTTCACATCAACGATGAACGATAGCAATTTCTTAAAAGTACATAACGCCTTCACGAGTAGACGTCTTTCGGATAATACTTTAATGACACCTAAAATACGCGTTGCACCATCTTGCGCCAGCTCTCCAGGTGGAACACCTGGTGGTGGTTTACCTGTACGTCGACATTCAAGTATAGGGCCTCAAGAACGACGTGGATCGAATATTAATCTTTCACCGCCCACGGTAACACGATATTTTGTATCTTTTAGAATCGTTAAACTTATTAAATATAGGCGATAATAAATATCATTAATTATGAGGTAAGAAAATAACGTTCGTCCATTTTTCATATACGCAGGGAGGCGGAATGCCAATAACAAGTAGTAGCGTGCCATATCTTCTCAGTTCGAGTATGAATAGTGTTCGAGGATCAAGACGTCCCTCGGTATCATCGACGTCATCCCAACAAGGACTTCTTCAACAGGTTGGATCCAGCATGGTAAGACAACTACCCCCCATCTGCCTCAACCTCAATGGACCACCACCACCACCAACACTCTCTCCATCACTCCAGCTACCGGGACAACATTCCCACTGACCCTTGGTTACAGTGTAAGGATACTCACTATGCTTCCTCTTACCTACATGCCAGCACCAAAGATCGTGTCTGCATCTCGCTTGCTCTATCGCACGGTACTTCGATATTTCCCCGGGAAAGATCTTCGATATCGATGATCTGTCTTCGACGATTGAACGTCTTCGTAAATAAATAACGAACAATTAAATATAAATAATATTTCTGCTATAGCTGGTAACGTTTACGCTTCTGTGTTATTGCTAATTGTAAGTAACGCTATTCTTGCTGCGCGCTATTGCTGGTTATGGCTGCTCCTGTTGCCGCTGCCATCGGCGATGTCACTGCAATTCTTTGCTGAGAACGGACAGACACGTGATAATCTTCTTCTTTTTCTTATTACTTCTTATTTTTTTATTTTCTTCCTTCTATCTTTCTTTCTATCTGATTATTAATTTTATATTCCTCTTCACTTCTTTCAGACGTACTTCCTTCCTCTCCAATCCACTTGCCTCTCTATCGCCCAGGCGCATGAATTCTTTTATGATAATTCGATTTAAAAATAACAGTCAATTATATTAGCTTGTAAATATAGCTGGCTTAAATATGATCAAGTATACAAGCAATATGAATTTAACGTTCAAGACAAAATATTATTGAAAAGAAAAAATATACTTTCTATTCTCAACTTGTTTAGAATCTTATTTAGTGCTTATCAAGTATTTCTCATGCAAATTAAACCATTAGATTCTTTGATATGTTACAGTATCAGTTCTTCAATAGACAAACCGACGCATGAAGCGTGCAAGCAGAAAGAAAGGAGAGATAGAGGAACGTCGAATGCTAATTTGTACCTAAAAAATAGAAGAATATTCATCTTTCTGGGAAATTTAGAGAAAGTACAAGACCACCATGCGAAATGCAAAAGTAAATTGCCTTTTCTAATATTATCAAGAATCTGGTACGATCGGAACAAGGTAGGTTGTACAAATTCGAGTATCGCTAAGAGAAAGTATTTGATGTCACGATGATATGAGAATAGGAATTCATAAAATCGACTTCATTTCGAGGATTGATCTTTCTTTAAATTTCTTCGAAAAATTTTCTTCTTCAAAGTACCTACAATTCTCATCGATAATATACAATATATATATATATATATATATATATATATATATATATATATATATATATATATATATTGTGTACCATATGTCGCTCATGAATGAAATACGTCACAGCGAAAAGAGTGGTCTCTTTCAATGGGTGAACTCTCTTCTTCCTTCTTCGAATAAATACGAGTTTATGAATCTCTTTCTTTCTCTTTAAATGTTTCATCGTGTAATAACAGGACGTGTGTCGGTCTTCAATGGATCAGCTGATAAATCCTCTATTAAATGTATACATGTATACACGTGTCTACATGTGTATAATAATTAAATCCTCGTGCACGTGCTCGTTAGTAATCGACATTTAATCAGCTCATTAATTTTCGATTAATTCGTTTTTCATTCTCTTGTTTCAAATCACTTCGATATTTTATAATTAAGTACTTTCAGACAAAATAATTATTATTCGTAATTATAAACTCTTTGCCCCTATAGACAGATTACACTTATCACATATATGATTATATATTATCTATAATCAGGGACTTAAAAAATCTTTCTTACCGATAGATGATAATCGCGAGCTATGTTATCGACATAGTATAAAGTGATATCTATTTTCAGGCGTAATACGAAACTATGAAGAAATTTAATATTCATGATTATCAAATAATTTACGAAGTGATGCGAAGCTTTCACATATATACAAATATTTAAAATGATTGAATAATGAATCTCATTATTAATACTTGTATATTCATTCTGTTATATTTCTAGTATTCATATTTACATATCTTCGGCCTCGTTCGTAAAGAGAGAAGCTAATATTTTTCTCCTTAATATAGGGCCTATTGCTGTTATTAAATGGGAAAACGCGTGATTGCGCGATACCCTTGTCAATTGTCGCATTACACAATCATTAATAGTTAAGGTAGTTTTTGTATCCGTGTAAGATATACATACATATATACATACATACATACATACATACATATATATATATCGCGCGGGCGTTCGCGCGCCTCTCGGTGACGGATTGCATCCGGAAGAAAGTGTGATGTTAAAAAATAAAGTTAAAAATACGATCTGATTCTTTTCCAATATACGGCCAACGATCGAAAAAAGACAGACAGACAGACAAACAGACAGACAGAGAGAGAGAGAGAGAGAGAGAAAAGAGAAAAATAAAATAAACCACGTGTTCCTATGTACAACGCGCGCAAATAAATTTTCATTTTGCGCTCCGGTAAGATATACTTCGCCTAGATATTTTTTCCCGCTTGTAATGAAAAATATATGTAGGAACAGTCTTACACAATCACATATTCACATATATACATGTACGATGTACGATGTCGATCATCGGAAGATTTTCGAATTTTATCTGACGTTTCCAATCTTTCACAGAGTTTATAGAAAATAAAACAGATAATGTAGATCGTTATACTGATATATATATATATATATATATATATATATATATATATATCAGATATATATATATATATCAGATGAATTGTATCATTTGTTAAACATCGTTTCGTGCATTGAATAATATCGATCCTCGCAGTTTGACAACCTCCTTATGAACGAAACGACGATGATCAAACGATTTATATATCCGTGCTCGTCTATGTATACTTTCGAATATTTGTTAAATTTCTTATCTGCCGTCCGATTTCTTATGATTCGAGAGTAATTCTATCCTTTTACCCTGGACGAGCGCGAAATTGTAATGCACGGAATCGTAAAAGCACGCAAGTATGATAAGCTATCTACACAAATATTAGGCCATATATCCTATGAAGTTAAAGGAGTGGTACATCTATTGTATTGTACGTATATATGTATGCGTCTATACATGTTCCTAAGACGATCATACAAAGTTAAGTGTCCTTAATATTAAGCAAAACCGGTTAAACGATTCAGACGGATCATATATTGAGAGAACAAATCGTATATATTGGTAATTATTTCCATAAAATCGCGCGCGAATGTCCGAATTTACTTTATCGCAATTATATTTGTATGTGTGTATATATATATATATATGTATATATATATATAGATATATATGTATGTATTAATATGTACTTATGTATATATGTATATTTATATATCTATATATATACATACATATGTATACATGTATCACGGACAATCATGGACAATCATCTTTCAAACCACGGTAATAAAAGTGCGTGAGAAACGATCGATTTAATGTTTTACGCTCTATATATAATGATATGTGTATATTGATCTCAATGATCATTGATTTGTCTCATCGTGCAAGTATGTAAATCCGATCGTTCTTGTATAAGATAAACCCCATCGATTGGTATTACGCACAATGTATGAAGTATAGAGATTTATTACATTCGTGACGTTATATAAATATCTTTAACTATAAACATTGAACCGATTTAGTCTTGATATCTAATCGAAAGTCTCTCCATTTTTGTAGAAATATTAATTTCTTTATATTAGGCAATACTGACGACATTATTGGAATACCTCTTTCTGATCCTTGCGTGTGCGTACTTTGTATTAAAAATAATTTTTCTCTATATATGTATATATATATATACATATATAATATATGTGTGTATATATGTATATACATATAAATATATATATATATATATATATGCACACATATATATTTAGAATCTATGTGGTAATACAAATACGGAGTCGAGTAAAATACTTCCCTTTTCTTTATATTCTTCAAAGAAAAGATAAAAATATATTGACTAAATGAACATTCCAAGTATGGCCATAATAAAAGTGTTATTAAAATAAAAACTTTCTCTCTCTCTCTTTCTCTCTCTCTCTCTCTCTTCTATTATTTCATTAATAATATATAATAGTATTTTACACGACTACGTAATATATTTGACAAAAATTTATCGCGGTATGCTTCAATCGTACTCTTGGCTATATCGTACGCTCGTAACCGTGATTTTGTCATTAAAAACGGTAATCGTCCTTTTTGGAATCTTTGTTGATTGTTAATGGATAAGATAAGTAAAACGTAATTGCAATCAGATTTAAAGTAACAATAATAATGATAACAATAATGTGATTATTAAGTGTCTACTATGTTATATTCAATAATGATCCTTTGGACGTAATTATATAAAGGATATTTCTATTAAAAATTGACACAAAATGAAGATTAATAAGGTTCAATGAAGAAGATATAAACAATAACTCGTCCTCATATACATATCCAAAATTAAGAAAATTTATTTAGGCAATGAAGAATAAAAGCGAAAATTACATTTTTCCATTTTAAAAATTAAAATATGATTTTCCCCGAAAAAGATGAAAATATTATGTTAATTAACGAAAATATTATATTAATTTATTTGATTAAAATTTAATTTAAAGTAAAGTCATATGTGAGAAAAATCGTATCTAGATTTATGAACACAGAATTATTAGAAATTTTGTTCAAAATAAAACTAAAACCCATATAATTCGATCATAATATAAAAGGGACACGACAGTTAAAAAAAGAAATATATATATATATATATATATATATATATATATATATTACACATTTTCTTGATATAATTGGTATTTTTTCTATCATTGATTATATACATGTTATATACACGCGAGAAGTGGCAAATTTGATGTATTGTATCTGTATAGTGCCTATAGTGATTGTCAATGAAGAAAGTTGAAAATGTATAAATTTTGAAATTAGAGAACAAGATGAGTATCGAAAGTTTTCCAAAATCTCAACCGATCCCGAGAAATCTAAATTATAACATATATAGATATACGTGCTTGTTCATCTCTCATATTCATTAATTTTAATGATATATTCATTAAAAGAGAGATATTCCCAAAGATTATGCAATTGTACACGTAGATAATCATTACACCGAGTAATAGATACTCGTCGAATCCCTTTTAAAAATTATGTGTTCAAAAGGAGTTTATTCTACATGAAATTGTTAGTTTAAGTCGAAGTACAATCAAAGGATCTGTTTTCAAATTGTGGCCCTTATGACAATTACAATATTCTATATGTCTATTTCATGTATCCATTTTTAAAAATATAATAAAACACCCGTTATGTCAATGATAAATTGAATATGCATGCGTTGGTATGTATAAGCGGGTAAGTATATATGACATGTTTTATTTTATAAAATCTATAAATAATTAATTTTAATTTATAAAATTTTTCAAAAACATTATAAATAAGATTCCGACTAAAATGTCATTTTTCATAATTCACACTGACAAACTAATTTTAATTTTACACCTTCGTATGCAGCTCTCATCCATATGCCAATTGCGTGTGCTCCAGGGTCAGGATATTTGAATTTCTACGAGAAATTAAATTGCATGAATATCCTCCGATAATTTTACATAGTTGTAAAAACGTGTAAAAAAAAAAAAAAGAAAGGTTAATAAATAACAAAACAATATTCAAGAAGATGTTATTATAAAAAAAGAAAATTAGATACTTTGAGTTTCATTAAGCTAGTTTTACGGACACGCGTATATATTGTTTGAATAGCACATTTTTCTGCAGCCTTAACAGCTTCTCCAAATGCTTGAATAGGATGCATTTTGGCATCTAATGCATTAGATAACATATTTTGTGCACTCATTAAAGGATCTAGCATTGTTCTATCTCCAAATGATACTTTTCCAAATTCTGATATCACTTTATTTCCTGCAATCAATGCGTTCAACCATGTACGAGGTATTACCTGATCGTTTGTTTCAGCAAAAACCTGTAATTATTTATAGACGCGTTATAATAAGTAACTATTTATAACAAGATAAATCTGATTTGACTTTTACCTTAGCAATAGCATGAAAAAATAAGGAATACAATCCTCCTTGCAATCCACCCATTTCTTTTTCTATAATACAACTAATATGTGTAAAAGTGACAAAAGGATTTGTACTGTTTATTTTATTCTCCTGAAAAATAAGACATTTTTAATTATAACAATGATGTATAAAAATAATATCTTAAAATTTTACAACATATATTACTTTGATTGCAGTTTTTATGGCATTTGCTCCTCGTGCGAGTGTAGTACCACAATCACCATCACCGCATTCTTTATCCATTATATTCAATTGTTCTGCACAAACTATCAATGCTTCACATGCAAAAGATATAATAATTAAAAGCACTTGTCCAGTTCTATTATCTATCATAGCTCCTTTGGCCTCTATAGAAGGTAAACTACCATTGCAATATTCCTACAAAATTTGTTCAGTTTTATTGATTAAAAAATTCAAAAATTTTAGTAAAATGCAATTGTTTTATTTACCCTGCAATATTTTGTTGGAACAACTTTTTCTAAGTCATGAGTCTAAAAAAAATATAATATTTTATATGAGACATGTCGTTCGTTTAGTTTAGCTACAAACATAGCTTTACTACATTTTATTTGTAACATTATAATAGTAAACTAACTTGTTCAAATCCAACCATTTCAGCAGTCAATACTTTTGGCCAAGCAGGTGCTAATGTTAGAGTATCAAGATATTTAATTAGATTGGAATCAACAGAAAGATTCAGTAATGAGACTTGAAAACCATAAGAATCCAATGATGTCATTAAATGACCTGTATATACTCTTTGCACTAATAAATCCAAGACCTTTAATTGTTTAAGAACTTCAAGTGTAAATATATTACATTCTATCTGGTTAGTGCCTAAGAAACAAAAATTATTCATTATTATATTTTGCTTTAAGAATCATAAAGACTATTACACTGTTTACATTGGCATTAAATATACCTCCAAGATTGTTTACTATAACAGCTACACTATGGCCAACAGGAAACCTTCTGACATTTGTTGTTTCGTTTGAGTTCTGAGATGATACTACCAGTTTATTTACTATAAGAGTAACAACATCCTCAATGGATGATGCATTTACTTGACAAATACCTGATTCACCATTAATACCATATCCTATTCATTGTTCAAAATATAATAACAGAATGTATCATAAGAAACATTATGTGAATATCTTTTTTCCAATAATTTATAAAATTAATATAAACCTATCTCCATCTTTGCAACACTGCTATTCCGTGAACATAAATTGTCTTTATAAGAGAAAGATATTTTCATCCCTATGCTAATAGTTGCAATTTCTTCATTATTTATGATTCTATTGCATACATTACAAATAGTTTCTAAATTTTCCCCATTTTCTGCCATTGCACCAGCTATTTTATTAATAAATAATATACCGGCTAAACCACGTTTTTCTATACTTTTTTCGTCAGCTTCTAAGCAGACATCATCTCCAACAATTATCATTTTTACATATATCCCCATACTTTCTGCGCGTAATTTGGCTAATCCAAAATTTATACGATATCCAGGATAACTTTGAACTATCAACAGCACACCTACAAGGACAAGAAAATAATAAAGAAATGATATGGGATTTAATAAATTATAATACAAATTTAATACCAGGAGAATGATTGGTGCCAATTTCATCAATAACTCTTAATATAGAATTTACTGGTGGTGCTGATGAAATATCTCCACAAATTGCAGCAGTCAACATACCAGGACCTACAAAGCCTGTATGAGCCGGTTCATTACCACTTCCTCCGCCAGATATTAATTTAACCTGATAAGAGCCAGATATTAATTTAACGATTTATGGAGAAATTAATATTGACATACTTTATCAGTCATATTAGAATAATCTCTTCGTAAGATAGCTTTACAATCTTCCAAAAGAACTAAGCCATGATGCATTAGTGCAATACTAATAAGATTGGTCTCAGTTGCCTGATCAAGATCATTCCATAAATGTTGCATTTTATGATAATAAACAATAAATTACAAAAATATTAATCTTCTATCGTATTTTACACATATGTTCGTATTTATATATGTCCAATTTATTATCACTTAAAAACCAGAAAATTTTTATAGACACTATATATATATATATACATAAATGTATTTTAGGTTAGGAAAATTGAGTAATATATTATACAGATAAATAATAAAAAAAAATTTTTATTCTTTAAGTCTCAGTGATCTGTGAATATCAATATAATAATGGATAAAATAAATAATAAGGCAACATTAATATTGTTTTTTTCACTTTGTTCTATTCTTCGAGTTGTATTTTTGTAAACGATAGATCGATTATCGTACAATACTCGATTACTTAATGTAGATATGTATTCAAATGTATTAAAATGAAGAATTTCAATGAATCGGTAATGAACTTTAAAAAAAAAAAAAAAGAAAAAAAGATGAAAGTTAGAAATTAAAAAATAAAACAAATATGTATAAAGCCATATTTATTCTTTATAATAATATTATTCAGCCCACATGGCCAAATATATTGCACTACATTTCGACTACGTTTGCAAACTGTGCTTTACCAAAAAACTTCTCAGATCCCAAAAAATTCTTCCTAATTGATTTCCTTAAATAATAATACACATTTACTGATATATAAAATTTTAGCAAGTATGAGCAGACTTAATGAAACATTCAAATTTTGAAAGCATAGCTTGCAAATGGACATATTGGTGACAAATTTTGTCTTTCCAATGATAATATGACAACCTTAATAGTATCAGTCTACAAAGTTATACTAAATCGTTGCTTACATAAAGATATTCAAATATAGACCTTGTAACAATATCAGCAACATTACCATGCATTCACTCAATTTAATGCACATAATATGTACAATATTCTATGGTTAAGTTTCTTATTTTCACGCAACATTCATACCACACAGGGTTCATTTATACATAATTCTTTAGCCCTATTTGGTATGCAGTTGTTAATTGCATTCACAGTTTTATTATGTATTAAAAGCCTAAAGGAAATTCAATGTTTCTTAATAATGAAGTGAATGACTACGTTTTGTATTGCATTACAGTTTACTTATTGTCTACTCAGACTGCAACCCTTTTTACTTGGAAAAGGATTCTGCACGCTCTCAAGTACATTTTTCATGAAAATTGTGCAGATTGCAATATGTGTACAATGATATCATATGTCTATCCTTTTATATATCATTATGAATCATATTTCATAATAATATAATTGATAAACAAATGCATATATCATTAACACAACGCATGGTTAAGAATGTGTGCTTTTAAATATTGCATAGCACTTATTTATTCTTCTCATTAAGTAAAAATCTAATATTAGAAGCACTTTGTTGAATATTATTTCTATATTATTCCGTGCAAACTTGCATTTATCGTGTTACGATAGGCCTGCTAAAATACGATGCCAATGAAATTATAATGGTGCAAAATTTTATTACACAGAACCTAATAATAAATTGAGTCCATTTTAATGTCTCAATTGTGTAACACTGTTTAAAGTTCAAATCCACCCATGATTAAATTGTCTTTAAAACTTAATTCTTGCTAATTTTTTGCACTGGCTAATATTGGCCATACTACATCCAATGAATTCTTCAATATGGAATATTCTTAGATCTTCTGGTATTTCAGAGTGAATTTGTGATGTTATTGAATAACCGTTTACCCCACCAAGACTCTAGGTCAAAAGGTTTAAAATCTAAAACAATAAGTTATGTTTATTAATGCACATTCATGCTTTTAATTATATTAGTAATTGATTAATTATATAATTTGAATATATTACCTTGAAGAATGTCATTTGGTTCTCCATCATTATAATATACTATAGAACTAGGACCTAAGAAAACAAAATATTTTTTAAATTCATATGTAATTTAGAATTTGACCTATTCCATCGAGTTTGACCTTTTTCATTGAATTAATGGTTTTGAATTTATTTTTATTAAATGAATGAATAGTAATGGATAAAACTAATAATTATTATGTTTGATGAATCATGTGTTTTTGCTTATATACTAAAAAATTTAAAAAAATTGAAAAAAAAAAGAAAAAAAAAAAGTTATATACTTTTATTTATCAATACTTACTGGAAGGCTCTGAGCAATCTGATCCGTCCAAGGATTCACTTCTTTGTCTTGTGTTAACTTGGTTCCATGCTAATAAAAGAAGTTATAAATATATCCTTTTAAAGTTGCATAGACATACATTAAGTCATCAAATATTTTTCTCTTCTCTGATTATTTTATCAGATTTTGTTTTTCTTCTTGATATTTGCATCTGTTAACTATTCTCCACTTATGTTAAAGTTGCTTGAAAATAATTTGAAATGTTCATATCTGTGAAGCAGGGTTCTTAAGTAGGTTAATGCTAGTTAAACTAATTTTCATCAGACAAATATATATAAAAAGATCAATTCTTTAGAATATAAATCATTTCAATCTCGTGATATTAATTAATATCACTCTCCAATTATGTATTAACCCACTTTTAATCTCCCTGATATTAAATAATTCTCACTTACACTCATAAACAAACTTAATAAGTTCTTCGTGCTGTGGTGTTATAACTTCTTGCATTTGATGCCTCTGTGTGTTGAACTTTGACTTCCCATTGATGTGAAAGACTGGCTTTGGCACATGACTACAATAATGAAGAATATATTGAGCTTATTCAAATAAAAATTTAAAGAAGAAAAAAAGAAGTGTAAAAGAAATATAAAGATAAGACTCAATCAATTAGCAATATTTAAATTTTTTCAATGATAGATCTTTTAACATTATTTAAGAAATAAAAAAAGACTTTGTTCGTAAACAAATAAATTATGAATTGCGTAATGTTGAGTATGGAGGAGGAGTAAAGTCGATCAGTAGGGTTAAAAGAATTAGATTACGACTTACCGGGTGATTTCGTGTTCGTTTTCAGGAACTGTCTTTCTCGTTAGATCACGTAGAGTTTCTAATCTCTCGAGATTCTGACTAATTCCTATAATAAATGTAAACTTAATTATAATAAACATTTTAATTATTATTTAAACTTAAAGTCCAAAACTTATTAACCGATCGCTATTCATAATATAAATAAATACCTCTACGAGTCTTCGCTACAATTTTACTAGGCCCTTTAGATACGGTATACATGTTCCGATAGAAATAAGCACGATAATGATCTCTTTTCACCGTTATAATAGAAGATCATTCCCTCTTACTCTACTGCAAAAAAAAATATCAGTATATGATCTGTAATACTTGTACGAATGAAGATTAGGGTGCCGATTTTAAATCGATCTCTCGAAGATCGATCCTTTCCGTCACGATTTTCGATATTTTTAATCGATTATGAAAACTAGAATCGATTTGAATTAGTTTTGCGAACATTGGTGTTGTGTGTATGTGGTGTGTGTATGTTTGTGCAGATAGAATTTTCCATTTAAATAAAAAAAAATTTCGTGTCGATTAAACAAGTTAAAAAATGAAAATTAAGAATTTTTGAAAGTATCCATTTTTTTTTATGGATTGTGGTGTTGGCCTCCTTGTCGCGAAAAATTAATTACCCGATTGATATGTTGATTTTAAGGCATTTGTGACATTTATATATCCATTTTGGAAAATGTTGCAGTATTCGATGATTGTGAATACGCTCCTGTTCCGAATCACGTGCGTTTGTTTATTTTTATTAACTTCGACTTGTTTGTCGGACTATAGATAAATTAATTTTTATTAAGTCATCGATGATTTTAAATAAATAACGTTTGTAAAATTAATTTTCATAGTTTCAATTATGATTGTTTGTACAGCAATATTAAAATTTATTATTATCTTTTTTTTTCTTTAAATAAAGGGATATTAAAAATTGTGACGTAAAATATTTTCGATGATGAAATCGATCTCGGCAGGATCGATTATTTCAATTCGATTTTTGTAATAAATCGATTCATTCAAAAAAAAAAAAAAACAAATATCAACATCCCTAATGGAAGATGTGACAATCTATTATATCTATCTAAAACGAGAAAGTAAACCAGTGATATGAGATTAAATTTAAGAAAGCAATTTAATTTTAGTCATTAAATTTAGTCAATTATTACGTATTGTATCGTTACGATATCGTTTTTATAATCATAATTATATATATCGTACGATATTTTTTCTTTTTTTTCTTGTAATTGATTATTTGTAAATAAGGAAAAAAAAAATTACGTACTATTAAAAAATGAACGATTCTCAATTCAGATGGATATTAAATTATATGAAATTATCATAGAATGATAAGCAATTAATTGAGAATCTCCTTTTTCGCACGTATGCGCATATGCAACTCAACACACACATGTGAAGAGGTTTCATTATTTACAAATAACTATAGCAACGAGGAAACTGCCATTATTTGCTTGTCCTTCGTATCTACAAATATTATCGTTACAATGACGTTTTGCTTTGGGATCTAAATACGGATGGAATTAATAGGGTGGGAAATTGGGCTATACAAAAAATTTTTCCCATTAAATTCTTAATGATCACAAATATACATTGATGTATCGTTAATATTGCTTTTCTTCCTTTTTTTCTTCTTTTTTTTTTTTTTCTTTTTTTACCACTATTTAAAGTTCGTAGATCCTATAAAAAATATATGTCAATATAATCATAAAAAAATAACTTTGTTAATTAATAAAATATTTAGTATAAATAACACATCTATGCATTCATGCTATTCAATGTTACATATAGTTAACGGTAGTTATACAATCACATATGTTTGATATAAACTTATGGAAGTAATTTTGTTTTAATCGATGAAATCATCAGACTGTTGTAGATATAAATTTAAACAAAATTTTTTAATTGAAAAATAAACATCTTTAAGTTAAAAAAACACATTCTATTAGAGAGCGCCACGTGTAAATAGTTGAAAACACGTCAGCATCGTGTCTGGAACTGCATAAATAACGATATAATTTAAATATAACTTGATAACGGATTATTTTTATTTTTTTTTTTTTTTGTAATTATAGAAAATTCTGCAATAATCAGGATGTATATAAATGATAAAGTATTTGTTAAAAATCTGTGGAAATTATCTTAACCCTACTTTGCATTTTGAAGGAGGAATTAAACTGTAAGTCTATTTTGTTAATAATATATTTTAAATTATGAAACATGAATGAGATGTTTGTACATTATGTTATTTATTTTTAAAAAATTATAATATTGTATGTTAATATTTACAAAGAATAAGTTATAATTAAGCAACAAATTATAAGGTTATATTAATGATGAATGAAAGAAAAATATAATACTAATTTTGTTGTTAAAAAAAAAAAGAAAAAGAAAAAAAAAAGCAAAACAAAAAGATTAGTTATTCTGTGATACATTGATGACCTATTAAAAAATATTGTTGATCATTAAAGATATGCATAGTTTTATTTTTGGAAAAATATTTGATAAAGTATTAAATAAAATACAAACTTGTATTCAATTTACAGTGTAATGTAAAACATGATGTCCAATGGTATTCAAACTCCTACAAAGGAATCTGAAGATGGTTCTACATTAAACAATATAGGCTGCCTTTCATCACCATCATTAACATTAAACTCACCATTAATGAAGTTATCTTCATATTTTTTGGCTGTTAGGCCCTGGTCTCTCAGTGCTTCGTTAATGCCAACACTTCTTGGATCTGCACTTGCATATCGGTTAATAGGTGTAGCAAATTTTAGTTGGATATCATTAATTTTAACATTATATACAGTCATTTCTGTACATGGAGCTGGCAATGTGGTAAATACTTATTTTGATTATATAAAGGGTGTGGATAGTCGAAAAAGTGATGATAGAATATTAGTAGATCAGCTTCTGTCGAAAGATGAATTGGTTTCATTGGGAGCACTATTATATGCAGCTGGATGTATAGGTTTTGTTTTGTTAACTACAATATCTCCTGCAAAAATGGAACATCTTGCTTTAGTATATTTTGGAGGTTTATCCTCATCATTTCTTTATACAGGAGGAATAGGTTTAAAATATATTGCACTAGGTGATGTACTTATTTTAGTAATATTCGGTCCTATTTCAGTTTTATTTGCGTTCATGGCTCAAACTGGTTATGTTGAATTAGGTACTATATATTACGCAATACCGCTTGCGTTGAATACCGAAGCTATTTTACATAGTAATAATACACGTGATTTAGAAAGTGACAAACGAGCAGGAATTGTGACATTAGCTATATTAATAGGATATACAGCTTCACATGTTTTGTATTCATTTTTATTATTTACTCCGTATATAACTCTTGTAGTACTTGCACTAAGATATTCTGTATGGTTCCTATTGCCAATAATTACTTTACCAACTGCATTCAGAATAGAGAAACAATTTCGAAGTCCCCATATGATTCAAAATGTGCCTAAGCAAACAGCCCGGTTAAATATGTTTCTTGGAATTTTATATGTTCTTGCTTGCTTGCTTGTAAACCCTCTTCCGTATGTATAATATATTATTATACATAAATGATATAGTAACATTTTCTGCGGAATTTGAAATCTTAAATTAAAATGAACAAACATGTACATAAACTGACAACTTGTATATGCTACGTATTAGTATTTGTCAGTCAGTGCTTTTTTCATTTTCTTTTATGATTTTATAATGATTTATCATTATATCATATTTAATATCACATTTAGAAAAAATGAGAATAGACATTAAACAATAAATTATTTTATTAAATCATAATATATATAACTTTTTGTAATATCAAAGAAGTTAATAGAAAAAAGTTATTTAAGAAGGGAGTTGTTTGTACTAATATATTATTATTTATTAGTTTTCATAAGTTCATAATTAATTTGGCAAAGATGTTATTTTTTAATCCTACATTGCACTAATTCTATATAATTTGTACAATAAATTGCACATAGAATATAAATTATCGATATAATTTTCTAGATATCTATAATTATCTAGATATAACAAACAAATAAAATATTATGAGTTCGTTTAATCAATTAATTTTTCTTTTTGTATAAAAGATTTAATTAATTTTACGGAAAGTAAAAAGTAAAATTAATTCATAATTATTATATAATGCATTGTAGGATAAAAATGATTTATGTATATAGAATATTATATAAACAATGTTATTCTAAAAATATAGTGAGATATTTCTTTATATGTATGAATGATGTGCTTCTTGCATATTGCTAAGGCATTTCATTATGGAATGAACAATATAAATGTGCTGTATATAAAATCCAAATTTTATTATCTAATTAATCTCTATTTATATTCAAGTAATATGTGAATGTGAGTTGTCTCATTTAATACAATGAAATCATGGATAAGAAAAACATGCATATTACAAAACTTATAATATAAACAAGATATTGTAATGCTAAACTAAAAAGTATTTATATTCTGTAACACCCCTTATATAGTAATGATGAAAAAAAAAAGACAATAAATATACCTATTGAATTACTTATATCATAATAATAGTCTGATCTTTCATAATAAATAAGCATAAATTAATATTAATTTAGAGAAAGTAATTTGGTATATTTATATCTAAAAATCAATAAAACGCTTTAATGGTGATTTGTTTTCATTCGCTATGATCTTTTTTGTTTAATCTATTAATTGTATTTCTAAGATTAGTCAAATTTTATACCAAACAATAAATCTGAAGTTGAATAATAAAATTGAAATAAAATCATAATATTTAATAGGGTTAAATTCTTTTTAATATTATCTACACCTTCTATTACGAGAAAACAAAAGCATAAGTATATAAACAGAGTTCCATTTAAAAAATTTAAAGAACACTTTAAAATATAGAAAAATAACAACTATTCATAGAAAAAAGAAATATAAATATAAAATGAAAATATAATATTAACACAATATTTTATATGGATAAATATGATTAGTATAATTAGAATAATTTTGTAAAAATATGGATTGATAACAAGTTTAAATATTATTATTTTTCAACATATCAAATTTATTCAAAAATTTGTATATGTTTAGAATCAATCAATCAAATCACAGGCATAAGTTTTACAGTGTATATATTTATGTATTTTACAATATAATTATATTATTTTGAGAATGAGAATGTAAACTAATAATATAGTTTAATAACATGATATATAGCGCGCAAGTACAGTTTATTTTCTGCTACTTGAGAAGAAAGTCAATAATTTGATATATTATGAATATCTATTACTAATTCTATATATATTATGTAAATACAATGTGCGTAATTTTATAAATTTCATCTACATACTACACATGACTAGTTCTGAAAATCTACAAAGTTAATAATTCAGGCTAAATATACAACTATTTTCTTACAAACAAGGAAAGAGTTGTATCATTAACATCTTCTTGAACAATGCAAATGAGTAATTCTATGAAATATTTAACACAGTTTTAATACTCATCAATTATAGTTTGATAGTATTTCTATCAAATAAATAATTTATATTAGAAATATTTAAATATTTGTTTTCTCTACAATATGTTAGAAATATCTGCTAGTCATGCAACAAGATACAGATAAGATGAAAAATTAAAACATATCTCAAATTTTGTATAATTTCATATGACAATACAAACAGCAATATTAATTGTATTATATTGCGTATAAATTATTTAATTACTAAAATTAAATAATGGTCATTAGGAATAATTCTACTTAAAATGATCATCAAATATTACATTTAAACGTGTTTTGAATTTTGTTAGTCATTATGCAAATAGATAATTATATCAACTATAGCTGAATCACTACATATTTTCTAAATAAAGATATTCTTAATCTAGTTACATATTAAATTATTCTACAAACAATGTGTAAATACTAATTTATCATACTTATCCATTTTTTCTTTTTTTTTTTTTTTTTTTTTTTTTTCTTTTTTTTTTTTTAATATTATATCGTTCCGTTCTATTTATACTACAATTAAGCCGATAAATCTGGAATGTTGCAAAATATAGGACACAAAATTGCAATTTCGGATATATGAAGTACAGACTAGAAAATTCAATATACTTAAATGCTAGGAAAATCAAAACGATAAAAATGTTTATTAGGATTTTTATCAAGCATAATTTTGTGAACCATTTATAAATTGGCTTATGATTTATATACTTTATTATAACTGTAATATTTTAATAAACTTTGGAAAGCATTTATAACATTAGAACTGTAACTATGTTTTCAATGTAAGAAAAAAGAAAAATATATAATTTCACATTATTTGAATCTTTATATTAATCTATCAGAAATATTATCAAATGAGAGATACGATATAGTAAAAAGCGATAATAGCACTTGGTGGGAATACTTTCCAATTTTTGAGCATTGAGTTTAATCATTATATTCATATGTATTAAAGATACTATTTTAAAACGCAAAACATTCATGACCACACGCACGGCCACGAATACATTAATATTACGGTGCATTTAAATAGCTTAAAAACATAAGCTGCCAAGAAATATACAATGTATAGATATTCTCAATCAGAAAATACATTAGAAAGAATATGACACATGAAAAAAGAAAAAAAAAAGAAAAAGAAAAAACTTGGACGAATAGAGAGAACATTTCCATTACGCGCTATTAATAATAATCGCTACAGAAGGACAACATTATACCTCTACTTATGTACATATTGATACATCTTTGATAGCTTAAAAAAAAAAAGTCACTTATAAAATTTGGAATATATTGAAACGTGTTGTCGAGCGAAGCTGTTACCTGCGATTGAAAAAGTTTTTTCAATTTTTTCATTATGCTATAAGATTCAATATATTAGACTATTGTTTATAATTTGTTAAATTTAACTACATCACATTGCCTTATTCGATTCCAAAGGTATTGGTTTCCTCCACCGCTAATAATAATTTTTCATATAAAATTTCCGGTGTAGGATATGGTGGAAGATCCAAACGATTGAAGCAAGTATGAGCTCTGCAAAAAAAAAAAAAGAAGCGATATATTTTAACTATTAAGTTAAATTTATTGTTATATAAAAGAAAATTTTGTTGATTCAAAAATTCATGATGAACCATAAAAATAGTCCTCAATTTTTTATATTAAAATGAACGGATTTATATTGAAATAAAACTACCTTGGTAAACTGTTTGGTCTTCCCCATTTTTCAATACAAAATTTTCTTGGTCCAGTAGATCCACGCAAGGCTGCAAATCCTTCATATGGAATGCTTGAAGTACCAGTTACGAATTGTAATAATCGAAGCCGTTGCTCATTCGAGAATCGGCTTATACTACTCCAGAACCATTCTACCACAGGATGTGCATCATGATATCCGCTTCTATATTCCGTGTGCATTCTCCAATCATTAAGATCAATCTCTGCTGCACCTGCTATTACCAATTCCAATTCACGTGCATCAAATACTGATACCAATCGAGGATCTACCACTTCGTAAAAGCCACGAACAAGTGATTCTATCTGTTCTGCGACACCACGTTCTAATCGCCAACGTACAACCCGTTCAAGATATTCCTTTTTATTTTTTTCTGTAACAGCAATATTTCGTCCACCTGGCTTTAACTCACGTTCTGTCACGCGACCCAAAAGTTCTTCCGTAACAGAAAAAGTTAATTCCAACGGTTCTATACTTATATCCCTTTCTTTAATCCACATTAAACTTTGATGGAACTCTTGGTCCAAACTTTCTAAATCGCTTAGGCTAGCTGGTATTCTTAAAAGTGCTTTGTAAAATGGCCTTGTAAAAAACGCATCCAATAAATATTGATGAACTAATGCCAAACCTAAAACTCTACCTGAAAATCTGAACCAATCGTGATAGTTATCAACAAATGCTGACATAGGAGATACTTGAACTGTATATGTATCGTTCGCAGAATATTCGAATAATCCATAATAAGGATTAAAAAGTTCACGTGACAGATGAAAGAAAAATTCACGGGATGGACCACCATAATCCAAACCTTCTTCATGATCAAAAATAACTACTAATTTGCCTTTTTGCAAATCTTTCTTAGTAGCAGCCATTATACGTGTAAAAGCATCTTCCAGTAAATGCTCTCTTCTAATATGTAATCTAAATGAAAAAAAGAAATTAATTAATATAGATCATTTTTATAATTATTTTATCTTAATTTATTTTTTTAATGATTTTTATCATGTAAACATTCTTCTCTATCATCATTTTTATATTAATATTATTATAAACGATTTACTTAAGTTTTCCTGGTCCTTGACCATATCCTTTACTTTCTAATTTTCTATAAAATGTCCTAAGTTTAGCTTCAAAATCTCTTCTATACGGAGCTGGAGCTCTGGCTGAAGCTCTTGTTAAACCTGGTGATGCATGCGGACTACCAATTGGAGATCTACCTACATTTCCAGGTACATATGACATAATTTCTTGCTCGAACAAACTAAAAATAATACTCGTAACAATATAGAAAATACAAAATAATAAATGCAAATTCGAAATATTGTTTTTCAATACCTTAACAATAATGCTAAAGGTACATCATGTCCCAGTCTTTGTAAGGCTGTGGTACCTTCTACTCTAATAGTATTAACTTTCTCACGTAATGCTATATTTTGTCCTAATGCTGAATGTCTTTCTTTTAGAATATCTATTATATTTGGTTGTCTTAAGAAGGCCACGACTTTGTCATTGTAAGCTACAGGTATATCTGGTGTTGTTGTAATAGCAGACTGCTGTGGTCTGGGTGGTGGTGTAGGTGCTTCATCCAGTAACGTTCGTGGATGTGCAGCTTCAGTCGGCAATCTCGGATCGATAAATGATGTAGCCTTCCTTGCATGACAAATGAAAAATCTCTGAAATTAAATTATTTCTTTATTTAGATATTATGAATGTTATCTATACTGTATCTGACAAATTTTTAGAAAAAATCAGTTATTGTGTTTTTGCTGTAAAATTATATCATAAAATAATGTTTAGTTATATATTAGTAATTGATCAAAATAAGAATGAAAAAATATATATATATACTTAACATACTTTGCCCGTTCGGTCGAGTTTGGATTCATACCCTCTTGGGAGCTCTTTTGTTGAATCAGCAAAGAAGTTAATTAAAGTGACCAAATCCCTGTTATGTTCATATCTTGGAAAAATTGTGGAATCTCTTCTAATTCTACTAATCATATGTTTTAAACTTGGATTATGGTTGTATAATTCCATAGCTTCAACATTAGTGTGAAGGACATTGAAAAAATCAGGTCTTGTTAAAAATAGCACCGGTGGTATTGTTGTAATATCAAAAGTCTCTGAATCAGTTCTTTCAATAGATCTGTCATTCTGTCTTTCATTATTTTCACTATGATTTCCATTCGTACTAGCATTACAGGGCTCACGATCAATATTATCAGGCCGAGAAATTGTACGTCTAACACTCTGATAGCGTCTATCTAGTTGTTGTCTTCGAAGATCACAACCCGTATTTCGAGTAGCTAATGTAGGTCTTTGCCATGTTGTAGTGTGATTAATATGATCTATATAGAATACTCTACCATGACTATCTATTCGTGCTTCCCATGCTTAAATAAGAATATATTGAGTTAGACAATTGTATATGTAATTAATATTATAATTCTTAGAAAATACGTGAAATATACTTCGATTAATATTATTTTCTAATTTTCTTACAAGGTGGTAATGGTTCTTCTGAAGATAATGATATATTTGATGTTTGACACATAGGTAATGGTCGTAAAGGCTTTGGACGGTGCGTTGGTGTTGGAGGACACTCTGCTGAATTAGATAATCCTCCTGTTTCTGGCCTTGTCAATGATCTATGAGCTCTTGGTGAACTTAATAATGCTATACTTGTTGTTACTGCCGTCCTTGTCTAGAAAGAATCATTTTATAAAATTAGATTATAAAATGTATTATAATCAATATCTATAATCTTCAAAATATAAAAAGCATATAAGTGATTTTATTATAATGAATTAAATTGTGTAATATTACTTGCTAAAGAAAAATATTTAATAATATTTAATAATCATTAGAAACAGTAATTGTATAAACATATGCATTAATAATTTTGTTGTTATGAAGAGAGATGATATTAACAAAATACTTAGTTGTAAAAACAAACAAATAAAATCTATAAAAAAATTTAAATTCCAGAAAGTGTATAAGAAATATGTGTAATATAAAAAGTTTATATAAAATTAAGGTTTACCTTTAAATTAGATGCTTCATCAACATCTACAATCTCAAATCCAAAACAGTCTGAAGGGTGCAAAGGCGCAGGGTATTTTGAAAGATGCCTTTTTGGTAATTCTGGTAGCAATGCATTCCTTTTGTGCAAGAATTTGTTCACTGTTCTTGGAGGGAGGGGTGGGGGATTTGGATACAGCGTTTCATATAAAGACTCAGGAGGTGAAAGTCCGGCAGTGCTACGCCATAGCTGATAATATTCTACCCCTTCTTTAGTTATTACATCATTAGTTTCTGTTAATTTCTAAAATAGAACACACATGCTTCTAGTTTAACTATGTAAATAGCAAATCAAACTTTTTTTTTTCATAAAAAAACATACATTAGAATTTTATATATTTCATAGGTAGAATAAAAATTTCAACATTAAATATCATAATTGCAAAAAAGGCAATAATAATAACAAACTTATAACATGCCATTTATATAAAATATTTTATATGTAAAATTTAATATTTAAGAATATCATATTTGTATTTTCAATACAAAAATTTGTATTCTTTTTCAAGCATACCATTGCAGATCTGTTATGAGTTGAAATTGCTTGTTGAGACTCTGTATCAGAATTACTTCCATCACTACTATTTGAAGAACGAGGATCCAACTCTATACTCTGAGCTTCCTCTAATAAAGTTTCTTGTCTGGAAACTGATGGCTCTAAAAGTGCTATAGCATTTTCTTCTAATTCTGTTTGCTGAATTGCCGCAGCTTCATCTACATTTCTTAAAATTGACATTTTAAATAATTTCTTTCCCTTTATGATATTATTATGAGACAAATCTGTTAACATATTTTCAACTGTCATATCATTTTTAGACGTTTTTGCAGATAATGAATCAACTTTATTCAAATCATTTACAACACACTTCTCTTTTTCTAAAGAGCTTTTATGATTAAAATCTTCCAATTGTAAAGTATCCTTAGTAATCATAAAATTGCTGCAATGTGGCAAATTTGTGAAACTATCTTGTAATTCTGGTGTTCCATTCATTCTATGTAAACATAAAATATCAGTATCATTTATATCATCAACCAATTCTTTATTATTAGTATCCGATATGTTTAATGGCTTCATAGCAGTGATTAAGTTATAATGGGAATCAAGTGAGTCTATTTGTGTAGGTAATGGACTTGACAACCTTTTTGGCACAAATGAATTTTCTGTAGTAAAACCACTGGCACTATCTAATAAAGAATCATTATCACTATCATCAGGCAGTTTTAATAGCTTCATTAAATTCATAGTATTGCTGACATTTGCTGAGCCATTATCAAATGTTGAATGTATATCAGACAACTCTTGAGAAAATGGTATTGATTTATCCATATTCATATCATTACAATTATCTTTTGTTGCTTTGGAATGAGAACTAGTGGATATACTTTCATTATTAGCTTCAGATTGTTGTATTCTTGGATTCCAATTAACACATTTTTCTTGAATTAAGTTTCTATCATGAAATGTAGATTCAAGATCAATTTGTAATTTTTCATATTCATTATCTGTAGTAGCAAAAAAAATCTTTTTCCTAATTAAATTTTTATGCGATAGCAATGCAGGTATTTGATTTGAAGATTGTGCGAGTTCCTTGTATGAAGCATTATCATTGACTGTAATGTCTTTGGAAAGTTCGTTTTTGTCATCATAGTTTTCTTTTGAAACTAATGCATATGATACATTTGTTTGTAGGGTTTCTTTCTTATTTGGAATTGGTGTTGTAAAAATATCATTATTTGTTATTTTATCTTGCAATGATGCAATCTCTGCTTGTTGCGAACCATTCTCCGGTAATACTTGATTATCAAATGATATAGAAGAGTTACCTGCAACTTCTATTATTTCAGTTCTATCATTTGATGTTAAAGTCTCCTTGTTGTTGTCTACATTTGATAAGGTATTGTGTGAATTTGTTTTTATAGTTGTCGCCAAGTCTTCCACAGGCCTTTCTCTTTCCTCATCTTGTGCACTTAGAGCATCAATATTTTTTATTTCAGATGGCATTCTTAAAACATTATTTTGACTAATTAAAATAATGTATTTTCATTTCATGGGCCCCTGTAACACAAAAACAATACAAAAGTATAGTATTAGAAACGTATCATAATTATATGTTCATAGTTGTATTTTATTAATATTTATATGAATTTCAATTCCTTCAATTCATTAATACAACAAATAAAAAAATATTTTCATCATATATGTTCAATCAACAATATTATTTTCATAAGAAAGAATATAAATGAGTAAAAAAAAAAAAGATAACTTTACGAAATATAACATTACTATCTATCTGCATGAATGAATGAACGTTTATTTTGAAGAATATATTATTATTATTGATTATCAAAAGTATTGAATATAGATATTTAAAAGATCACATGTAAATACTTTGACGAAAATTTATTAAATACTCTTCAGAATGTATTAAATATTATTATGAATAATTTGAATTCATATCAATGATAGAAAATATATACAAATATAAAAGATAAATTGTTTACTTACACATGACACATCTTCCGCAAAAATTCGCAAAATGACATTTCAATTATTCATTTTAGATAGTTGTAATTACTTTCATCGACTCGTCTTATTAATTATACACGGATACGTTATACCGATGAACATTGTAGTTTGACAGAAAGATATAGCAGACTGAGCTTAGTATTTTTTATATTCTCTCTCTCTCTTTCTCTCTCTTTCTTTCTCCTCTCTCTCTCTCTCTATCTCTCTCTCGCTCTCTCTCTTTCTTTCCCACACACACAACACACACAAAATATAGTGTGTAATACAAGTATAAGTGTGTTCGTTAAACGACCATATCATATATTAGTGTTTCTCGCATTTTATATGATTTTCTTATCCACGCATAAGAAATATCAAATTGAAAAAGTATTTAAAGGAATAGAAAAGGAATAGCAAATATTATTTCAATCCTCCAATCATATTTCTGTATAATCAAAAAACGAACGTCATTCGTAGTTTCAAGAAACGCGCTTTAAGTTTGAAATCATTAAAATAGGTTAAGATTTAAAATTAATTTAACAATAGATGGCGTGAGCTTCCTTTATGAAAATTTTATACATAAGATGGAAGACTTATGATTTTTTTAATATAGGTATAAAAATGTTTTGTCTTTGATATTCGGTTCAAAAAGTAATATATTAATATATAGTTTTGTTATTTTGTATTGTGTATAATGAGTTCTTCACAATCGTCGTCATCGTTTTACAAATCAGCAAGAAAACCTGTAGATAAAAAAGTGCTTTATCATAATCTAAAAATGGTTATTCTCCTAACTACAAAACAAAAAAAAAAAAAAAAAAAATTTTTTTGACAGTCTCATTTTATTTGACATTAACGTAATTCTAGAATATTATATTTTTTGTTTTAGAGTATGCAAGAAATACAAAGGGTTGCACGTGAAGTTGACAAAAATATGAAAAAAGTGCGAGAAGATATAGATATTACAGCTACTTTATTAAATGCAATTGAAATACACGCACAGCAGGATCAAAATTAATATAATATTTTTTATACAATTTTTTATGATATTTTACAAAATCTTTTCACGATAATAGATTTTATTATTAGAATTGTTTCTATTATAAAGAAAATAGATGACTGAAAAAAAGAAAAACAAACATGAAGTTAGAATTGATTAATTAGGAGACTGTTTTAACAAAAAAAATATTATAAAAACGTAGAATTCATTATTTCCTATTTAAACAAAATATGTAATCAAATATTTTTTATTTTTATTATATATTATAATGCTTATATTAAGAATAATTTATAACTTAAAATTAATTATAATATTAATTGAATAATTTTCGTGATCGATGTATTGATCAGCTAAGAATGAACATGCAATCCGTGAGATGTCGCCTTCATTTATCACATTGTGTATCACATTAAAAATTCATGCTAGTTTTTGACACACAGCAGTTAGCTTTTATATCGTTAATTTTTATTAGTTAAATCTTTGATACGACATGATTGTATTTAAATGAATATTTATTTAGGTTCAGAATTAATTTAAAAGATAAAGATAAAAGATGGAAAATATTGAAAATATTAATAGATTAGATGGAGAAGCCATGGATTATGTGGAAAACAGGATTGATAATAACAAAGTTTCCCATTTAGAAAAGAATTTGAGCAAACGACAATTAAAAAGGGCAAAGAAAACGGAAAAATGGTTGGAACGAAAAAATGAAAAAAGGTGTTCAATTCTGTATTATTAAAAATTGATAAAATTATAGAGAGAAAATTGTGTCAATAATTTTAAAAATATAGAATTAATTGCTCTATGAAATATTTATTTCTGTATATAGTTAAAGCTTTTTAATATTTCGTTTCTTAGACGGCTAGAACGAGCTAAGGCTAGAGAAAAGCGAGCATTTGCTCGTGCAAATAATATAGATCTTGGCCCATCTAGAAAAGCTTTAAAAAGAAGTACTATGGCAGAGAGTAGTTGTAAGCTTACTGTTACTATTGATTTATCATTTGATGATTTAATGATAGACAAAGATATCGCAAAATTGATTAAACAGATATTAAGATGTTATACATTAAACAGAAGAGCAATTGCACCTTTACAATTTTCTTTAACAAGTTTTAATGGCAAATCTAAAAAGGAAATGGAGAAACACAATGGATATGAACATTGGGATGTATGTTATATTACTACTTGTTCTATTCCATATGTTTATTCCAAATACACTTAAATATTTGTAGATTACAGGTAAAATTTGAACTTGATTCATATATGGATATTTATCCAAAAGATAAAATTGTATATCTCACAAGTGAATCAGAAAATGTGATAGATCGACTAGATCATAGTTGTATATATGTTATAGGTGGCTTGGTTGATCACAATTGTCATAAAGTAAGTTATAATATAAAATTTTTCAATATCAATTTTTTATAAATCAATTTATTATTATTATTATTTCTATTATTAGGGTCTTTGCCATAAATTGGCAATGGAAAATGGAATAAAACATGGTCGTTTACCATTAGATAAATTTCTTCTAATGAAAGCTAGAAAAGTTTTAACCATTGATCATGGTAAAAAAAAAAAAAAAGAAATAAAAAGTATTATAAATGTATACACATAATAATAATCATAATAAATATACTTTTATAGATATATATTTTTTCAGTATTTGAAATCCTTCTTAGAATAACGGAAGGTAAAACATGGCAAGAAGCATTCCTTCAAGTATTGCCAGAACGTAAAAGAGCTCAACCAATTACATTTCCTCCAAAAAAATCTGAAGAATGTAAAACAATGAATGATATTAAAATAGAAAAAGATTGTGATGAAGATATGTGTAATAATATTGAAAATGTATTCAAACAAGAATAAAGTTATAAAAGCTTGCAACATCGTATTTTATATATAATATATAATATTATATATTATATAATCATGTGTTATATGTATGTATGTATGTATGTGTGTGTGTGTCTGTTATATACATATATATTATGATGAATTGACTCCTTAGTAATGCTGTAAAGCATTGAATCATTTTATTTGTAGACACAATGGATTATTGACGAACTACTCTGTAAAATTATATCTTCATTTCACTTATCGTTTTAATTAATTTATAAGTAGAATGAATGACAACAAAAATATATTAGAAAAAAAACTGATTTCATGATAATGAGAATCTCAATTATTAATTGTTCTTATCCAGTTAATTATTAATTAAAATAACTAATTTAATTATATCATATGATTAATACTTTCGTTAAAAAAAACATACGATATAAAGAACAAACTAGTTTTTAAAGAAATTAAGAAAGCACAATGCAACTATATACTTTTAAAAAATTTTAGTGATAATTATACAGATTAAGTTAATTAAGATTTTAATTTTTAATTTTTAGATAATCCGTGTAAAAGTTGTATTACAATATCACTTACTACCAATTATCTATAATTTTAATAATATATTTGTTTGGAAAAAAAAAAAAAAACATACATTATTTATGTCCACATTCTACTATTTCTGTGTCACAATAATTACGGCTATCAATAGACAGTATTATGAATGACGTAATATATTTTACACACTCGACATTTGAGAACATAATTATCATCATGACCTGTTATCATATCACAGAAAAGATTTTGAATAGGCTATAAACATTTCATGTATAAAAATAGATTGTCAGATCATTTATCAATTTTATTCAATCCTTTGCAATTGTGATTATCATTTCAGATTTACAATACGATTTTAATATTATACTTGATTTCTATACTAGAGAATAAAATGTATAGATTAAGATAATTTTGTGATTTACCAAGTGATTTACTTATAATAAGCTAAATAAAAATATATTGTCTTCAGATTAATTTTTGCAAAATAATTCATATAATAAAAAGGATTAGAATGACATAATTTTTTAAAAAGAAACACTAATCGATGAAACATACAAAACCAAAAGTATTTCTCATAAAATAATCATGTATCAATGAATAAAGAACATAAAATTATATTACGAATTGTTTTTACCGTCTGTTTACCGCAAACAAAAAGATAATGATAAAAAAATCATTACAAAGAAAAATTATTCTTAAAATTGAAATTAAAATTTGGAATTCAATTAAAATTTACTCAATTTGGATATATTATCCATTATATTCAGTCTTAAATTTTATCTCAACAAATTGTCATTCATTTCGAATAGTTCATTTGAATTCTAAAACTAGAAGATTAATCCCATCTAGCTTATGGAGCATCGTATTTACACAATACAATAATTAGAAATATTTTATATATATACACGAGATTTTCTGCTATATAAAAAATATTAATAACAAAATCGTAATGTTATAATATATAACATTACAATATTATAATGTATAACAAATCTCAAATTATAATTGAGCAGTTAACAAACGGTTCAAAAATCGTAAAACTTAGAAATTAACTAGAAATATTTTGAATGCATAACTGAAAAATATTTAAAGATAATACATGTTATTTTATCAGTTATTTGCAATTGATTAAATGTTAATATATACTAAAAGTTCTTTTTTTTTTTATGATATATCATGTTTTGTAACCTAATACATTCCTGAATATATTTTGAAAATTAAAATACATTGTGAAAACTTGTTAACTGATTAATCACTTATTTCTCTCTTCGATAAATATTTAGCACTATTATTTTTTATAGATACGAAAAAACAATATTTGTAATTTACAAAACAATGATACGTGCTTTATGGAGCTCACCCGTGACAAATATATATTAATTATATATAAATACATGAATTGGTTTGTTTACTATTATTATAGAGATGTTTTCTTTCTTGTATTGTTATTAATACATATCAGAGAATGTATATTGTAAAGAATTTTCTTCCAAAGAGATACATAATTCATAAATGTATCGTTGGACAATTTATAGTTATAATTATTTTTTGTGTGAAATAAAATGTGCTAAATTTACCTTCCAAATTATAAAACAAATTGATTAATCTTCAATTAAAATAACTTCAAATTTATAATATCCTCCGTCTGTTTTTATTCTTTATATCATACGATTTTATCTTTGAATATTTTTTTATAACATCTAAAAAATGTATCTGAGTATGTATCAATTCAACGTTTGATTGTTAAGTCTAGATCACAGAAGGGTCTCCATCTACACCTTATTGTACAGTTTCTAAATTTTACTTTGTTGTATCTGTACATAGCATAAAAATAATGATTTTTAGTAATATTTTGCTAGAATTATCTATAATTTTTTCATATGTAATGATTTTTTAAAAATACATGCAAATCGTGAGCGTGTTAATGATAACAAAAATATTTTTCCGATTTCTATAAAAAAGAAGCAAGCCAATATTTATATAAGACATAATTGTATTATCCCATTTCTTTTTTATGTATGTCACAGTTTTAAAAGTATATCCAAATTCTAGATATCTTCATGCATTATTTATATTTGCAACTTCTTGTCTATCAATTATTTCAAATTCATTATCACTCTCATCGTTTAAATTGAACTTATTATTTAACATTTCATGTCTAAAATCTATTTCTTCTTCGGAGGATGAACCTTTCTCAAAATGTCTGCTTTGAAACTTAATGCCACCTATACCTGTCTCTTCGACACTAAATTCCAATTCTGAGAGTTCAACTTCATCAATACTTTCATCTTCGTGAGATGGCATTCTTAAATCTACAAGTTTGTCATCATTAAAAAAATCTGTAAAAAAAAAAAAATAGATATTCTTATCATTAAATCTTCTATCAAATCAATGAAAGAAAGGAAAAGTAATGAGTGTTTATTTTTTACTTTCATTTATTAATATATATATAAGTATGAAGTCATACCATTTTGTATATCTGATTGCAAACTTGATGGTGTTGGAGAATGGTCACCTGATTCTCCTGCCCTTTTTAACACTTGAAGATTATCTTCAGTGACTACTGGTAAAAATTCTTCCACTTCACTATCCCATTCTGTAAAAATTTGATAATTGATAAATTATTTTTATAAAAAGATAGTACTACTATAAAGTATATAATATTACACTGTCATTACCTTTATGTGATATTACTTTTCCAGGTAGCTTTAGTAATAATGCAGGTACTAGTAGAATGCTCATACATATTATATAAGCAAGTAATACTCCATTCATAGTACGACCAATTATCCATAGGCCCAAGGATATAGTACAAACAGCAGTACAAAACTATAATTTTATTCAAACTTACAAGCATAAACTTTTTTCTGCATTTATATCTTTTATATGTCAAATAAATCGTTTGATGATGATATTAATATATACAATTTCTCATGTGTTAGCAATAAGTGTAAATATTATACAGGTCAAAGAGCATATTATTACAGTAATAAATATCAACAGAGATAACATACCGTCCCTGGCTGATCTTTCCGTAGTTGTCTTAAGCTCTGCAAAACGGATTTTATTTTTCTTCCTATCTTTTCAATTTGTTCAGCCTTGGTGTGTGATCTATAAACATATTGGGAAGCTTGTTTATGTTGATTCTGAAAATGGACAATATATTATGCATGTGTGATTCATTTAATTTAATATGTATAATATTTAAATATGCAAGTGCATGAGAAATTCTAATATCGCTTATAAATTGTAAATCTTTTAACAATTTAATAATCATTCGATTTAGAAATATTTTATTTTACATCTATGTAAATTATTACGTATTATATATATAAGAAAGTTGGAAGACTTGTAGAAAAAATCTTGTCAGAGAAGAACAACAATATTAAAACAAATTTTTTTCTATAGCAAAATATTTAATTGTTTCATTCCGATATCTGCATATAGAATAATTCTGTAAATTTTGGACCAACACATGCAATTACATATTTATAATCAAACTTGTATAACTCAGCTTTGTACTATCTTGTAATTTAAAAACTCTTTCAATTTAAATGTTCCTTAATGTCTGTGTTAATAAGAATCCCAAATAATTATGAATGTATATATATATATAAAGCATACCAAATGTATATATTAATAAAGTTTATATAGAATATATATTTGTAATTTTAGCATCCATAATTCATAATTCATTATAACGACATAAAAATAAAAAAGTATCAATGAGTTCCCACATGCGCAACCCTTATATATTTTTGAAGCTTAATGACATACACTAATTTTTTCTTGTTTTCTTCATATGCCTGTGCTTCCAGATTTTTATAACAGAGAACCACGACAAGCGCAGCACTGCTGGCTACTGCAAAGCCTCGGATCTCTAGAATAACTATCCCCCTGAAAAATTAGTAGTAAACACTTGCCTCATTTAACTTCATTGTAACATCAAGTGGATTAGTTATAAATATATCTGTTCTCATAAAAGAAAAAGTTAACATTTTAAATATTATGGGAAATAGAAAGGTCTTTGTTATTGATAGATTTTATGAAATAATTAAATGTGATTAAAAACTTAAATTGATACTATTAGAATGTTTTACCTTAGGCACATTATTCATGTCCAAACGTATATATCACATGCATTTTATAAATTCAAAGCACCCTACTGGAGAGAGGAGGAGGAGGGGGGAGGGGGAATAAATAAAGAAAGAAAAAAGAAAAGTAAAAAAAAAAAAAAAATAATAATAATGTTAAGTAAAAAAATAAACGTTAAGTAAACTAATGTTAATGTTAAGTAAAAAAATAATAATGTTAATAAAAAAAATAATAAATAATAAATGTAAGAACAAGAAACAATGGGGAATTGGCGACGAGGGATATTAAATTTGGGAGCGTACATATGCGACGCTATACCTCTTGTTCTTATTGTCAGGTGTATAAAGGTAATAATCAAACATTGCATCTCGAGAAATGCGCGTGTACATACGTATGTACGTCAGCAAGCAGTGTAACAAGCAGCGATCGCAATTCAAAACGATCGATGTGCATGCACGCGTGCGTGCGTACGTGCGCGCGTCCGCACGCGCATGGAGTTGTGTGTGTATGTTGTGTGACGCGAGCGCGCACGCGTGTGTGTATAAAGTAAGGACACACAGAGAGACGTGTGCGCGCCCGCGCGCTCGCGTGTGTGTGTGAACATATTAATGGATATACAATATTATAAAATATAGCACAGGAATAGTAGTATCAGGTCACTCACCAAAAGAGTATATTGAACACAAACACAACTGTTATACTATTAACAGAGTTTTCCCATAGAAGGATATTCTCCAAAATCCCGCAGAATCTCTTCAAAGCCTCGATGTCGCAAATATTATTGCGACACTCGTCGTCATAATCTTCGTCGACGACGGGCGAATTCCTCGTCGAATCGGCCTCGAGGCTCATCTTTGTTACATCGCAGGAAGGCAACAATGACGATGCTACTGCTGCTGGTGCTGCTTCGGTTGTTACTGGCACCGATGGTGATGGTGGTTGTAGTAGTAGTGGTGGTGGTGGCGAAGGCGGACTCCTCAACCAACGAAAATAACATGCGATTTTCGATAGCCTTTCCATGACAATTCCAGGATAACGTTGAATCACTTTTCTCGACCTAATTCCTCTTTTCTTTCGGCATGGTATACCCTCCAATGGTCGTAGAAAGATATTTTTAGCGCGTGACAACGGGAAGGAGAGACTTTTCGAAATGAACAAACTAACGCTGAGGTTTCTTTCGTTTCGTTTCCGAAGTGCGAATGCTGGACGCTTAAGAGGGATGTTAGAGAGGAGGAGAAAATACTAGGTAGAGGGGATGCTTTACGATATACGTATATTAACACATCTATTCCTACTATGTAGTTGTGTGTATGTATATAATATATATATATACGTATGTATGTATGTATGTATGTACTTGCGCATGCACACAATGCACAAGTTACAAAATCATATGAGAGCTCAATTGGTGGCAGTTTTCCTCTATCTATTTTTCGATGAGAGAGATAAGACTATTGGAAAATATTCTTCCTTGTTTACCTATTAAAGCAATTCAATATTTAGATTTTCTCTAAAATCGTTTATTATTTCTTCTCAAAGCTACTACGTCATTTATATATGCGCTCGTGCACACATCTTCCACACAAGAGACACGTATATACATACATACATACAACATATATACATGCACATATGCACAATCATACTCTTCGCTTACTTTACATATATTCAGCACATAATGATTGCAATATGAGATCACAAATCGTCGATGCAGTCATGTTACTTCACGCCAGTTTCCATTAGTTTGCTTTTTCTTAACGTTTTCGAATCAGTATCGTTGTTCGTCGCAATAAATTTTGTAGGGAAGGAAAAATTGAAACAAATTTCATATATAGAAAATTTCTATAACGACATCAACATTTATTTATTCTGTTTATACCTAATTCTAATAAAGTGACAAAGACAACATAGTTGTGCCTTCGAAAATCTTAAGAAAAGATATTTATTTATTCGAAATGCGTTATATTTCTTTCTTTCTTTCTTTCTTTGTCCAATCCGATTGCTACTTCTAACTTCTTAGGCCATAGCTTATACACATACACACACACATATATATATATATATATATATATATGCGCGTGCAAGCTTCTACGATTGACAAACAAAATGTTTTAAAATACGTTTCCAAATAAATTGTATAAAACTTTAAGGCTGTTCGTCACCTTTAGCTCGAACCGTGTGTGACTTCAGCGACAGGTATGGACAAAATATAAACTACAAATGTAAGCGGGGAACACTGTTCCCGCCATATGTTTAACATATCGATGTATGAGTTTGTGTTGGTTTTTGATACGTACATAACAATCAGTTTTGTATAGGTTAAAATAAGTAGTGTTGGTATATACTGTGACTCACACTTTTCAATCTTATATATGTATATCTTTTTTTAATAACATACGTATATATGACATCTTTAATTATTTGTTTCACGACAAATACATAAAGAATAATAAATATAATTGACACGTATAATAAGTTAGTATATAAATTTCTGAAAAAAAAACGAAAATTACAAAAAAAAAAAAAAAAAAAAAAAACAAGGTTTTATCAAAAATAATTAGTGAATATTTATTATATTATATATATAAATATATACTTATTATATTATTATATTATATATTATTATTATTATAGTAATAGTAGGAATAATAAGTAATAATATAAAGTTGATTATTATATACAGAGGAAATCATAAAAAAAAAATAGCACTTGGAGAAATATTTCGTTGATAATATGGAAACGAATTTGTCTTTTGACCTTTATAAAAATAGTATATAATATATAATTGTTTATATTTATTAATTATTATTTTTAAAAAAATAATCGATAAATGTATATACTTTATATATATCTGCGATCAAGCCAAATTGTACCGTTCCTGTGCCAATCTAACACAGATTATCGCGTAACTTACGTCAATCATCAATGGAAAAAATAAGTAGGAGAGATTAGATAGTAATGTCTTATTAAATTGACAAATAAAGGAAAAAATAATTAATCAGTTGATTATTTTAATTTATATCGATATAATAAAAAAAAACCTAATGGAACTTTCGAATCTAATACGATTCCCGAATTATTAATGTAAATATTTGCCAATATGCTACACATATTTGCCAATGTGTTTATCGAATCTCTATATTTCTAGTTTATAAAATGTAAAAATAAACTATAGATTTCTCAAAAATTTAACAATATTTAAAAAATGTAGATCTATTGATATGAACGATTGGACAGGTATTTTCGTATTTTTACCTTAAAATCATCTGTACAAGATTCATAAAAATAGCCGAGTGAGTTATCTTAACTTTTTCGTCTGAGCATCGTGAAACGCATTTCTTTGCGTTTAAAATGGTTTAGAAAATCTGAGCATCATCAGTTTACACTCCAAACAAGTAGGCAATCGTCTACTTCATGGAAACAAAACATATACCATTCAAGCGTGTATATGAAAATCAGTAGTGGGGGATACGAGCTTCTCTTTTTCGTCGCAGATATCGAGAGGCGCCACTATACGAAAGTTTTTCTTTGTGAAAAACGTCGAAAACAACATTTAGGTTAACAAAGAGAACGGTCATGATTCTTGACCGATTTTGATGAACAAGATCTCATCTTAAAGACGATGGTTTGATCTAAAATTCCGTTTTTTCGAATTTTTACGAAAGCTTTATATTTCCAAATGAATTATTCTCGAAGGAATACCATTTTTTAATATGATTTTTTTCAAAGAAAATAAAGCTTTTTTTACAATTCAAAAAAACAGAGTGCTAGATTAAACCTTCATCTTTAAAATATCCTTTGGTCGTCATAATCGGTCAAGAATTACGCCTGTTTTCATTATCGGCGTAAATCATTATAAAACCAGGAGTAATGAACAGCCTTAAAGTATTATTTCCTTTTCCTTTCCTTTGTGTTGATACTTTGTCGTTATCAAGTTTGCTATCGATGTTATCATAGAATCATCATTGTTATATCAGGTGTTATTTTATAGAATTTTAAATAAAAATATATAAGTATGAAGATATCAACGAAAGGCAAGTAGCCAATGAAAAGTTAGCAGAGAAGAAGCCATGATGTTCTGTGTACCTAAGGTCAGACATTTTCTTGTTAGTGACGGATCACTTTTGATCGTTTCGACTGTATTATATTGCATTGTATGATGCGTAGCAAAAATTGTTGATAAGTCTGTTAATTTCAATTTCTTTTTTATTATACCAGGTGTCGATCAAATTAATTAATTTCGTGAAAGAAATATTTATGAAATTTCTAGCGCAATAATTACAATATACAATATGTTCGAAAAAATTCATATATAAAATATATATGTATATAATATTTTAATTTTATTATATAGAAGAATAATGCAATTTAAAAGCTAATTATTCTTTTTCCTAAGATTTTTTTTTTAGTATCTTTTATTCTCTTTATCGTCTTACATTTTCGTTGAAAAGTTTTCATTATTTTTAATGCATTAAGCTTTCTGAAGGCTATTTGTTAATAATAGTATTTAATCACGAAGTCATTGAGAAAGAAAAAAATGATGAAAGGATTCTTTATAGTTTCAATATGTGTATTTTTTTTTTTAATGTCGTTCATGAAATAAAAATACAATTCGTCAGCAATCGTATTTGTAATTCTATATAATAAAATTAAATATATGTACATATATATATATATATATATATATTATATATATATATATATATAAAATATTGTTAATATAAGTAAAATATTTTCGTATAAAATATAAATTTTGTAAAAGAACGTAAAAATATATATCAACACAAGTAAATCTGTTATTAATATAGCTTGCTTAAAGCTTTAAGCTGTAACTATATATGTAACGCGCATTAATCAGATATAATACGAATGAAAATTTTTGGCTTCTGTCATATGTTCTTAAGTTATCATGAAACGTTCTACTTTATCGATAGAGCAAGTTAGCAATAGATTATAACAATCATATAAGTAAATATGATAAGTTTTTTATACGTATGATCTCAAGTATATTACGCATCTTCGAACATGAATGTGTGTGTGTTTTAAATTTTCTAATAAATTTCTTATATATATATATATATGTATATATATATATATGTATATAATATGTGATAAAATATACGTATACATATGCATACATATAAAGGCTTAAATAGGTTAGAATAGATACATACAGCCCCTTCCATAATGTATAAATTCTATGGTTAAAGTCATAGTTGTCATAACATAACGGAATAATATATCTATTATTCGCTTTGTTTCATATGTTAGGTCATTCACATATTTCGAGAGATTTTTAATTAGCTCTTATAAAATAATAATATTCGAAAGTAATAATCATTATTCAATATGACGAAAAATTATTCTAAAGAAACGTCAATTCCTTCGAAATTAAAGGTAAAGAAATTTTTATTCTCTCCCATTTAATTTTATCATTGTTTATAGATTGAAGTTTTATTTTTCTAGGGCACAAATGATCATAATGAATTTTTGAATCGAATTACAAAGTCATTGTATTATTTCGAATTTCCAATGACCGATTGTCTCAGTTTTCCAGTTACTGGTTAGTAATATATATTCTTTAAATACCTTCAAATTTGTAAGCTCATTTGATTTTAATTTTATTATTTTTATTTTATATGCCATTAACAATTTCTTTTTCTTTTTGTAAAAGAAACAAATTATAACATTTTACGAACAAAAATTTACATATTTTTAAATAAAATAAATTTATGTTCGTAGAAATGGCAGCAGAACTTTTTACTGGGGTGAATCATACGTTAGAACGATTAGATGTGGAAGAAGCAAGTAAAATTTCTAGAAATGCCTGCGTTTCTCCGTGTTCTTTGATCTTAGCATTATTATACTTAGAAAAATTAAAAGATTGCAATCCAGAATATCTTCAACAAGTAGCACCTTCTAAACTGTTTCTTGTTTCTTTAGTATGTTTTGTTTTGTTTGTTTATATATATATATATATATATATATATATATATATATATAATGGATATTATGTATAAATTTCTTATATTATACAAAGATTATTTTATTTTTATATAGATGGTAGCTACTAAATTCTTAAACGACGATGGAGAAGAAGATCAAGTTTTTAATACAGAATGGGCCTTATCAAGCGATTTAACCATATTGCAGATAAATCAATTGGAGAAGGAATTTTTAAATGCTATTGTAAATAGACATAATATTATTTTGTAGTGCACATATTTAAAATAGGATAAAATTTTTATCCATTTATTTATCTTTAATAGGATTGGTCTATATATGTTCAAAATCAAGATTTTTGGAAAAGATTACAAAAACTAGAAAAGGATATTGCTTATAAAGAAGCTCAAAAACGTGGCTGGTTTTCTTATACAGAATTGAGCTGTCTCATGGATTCTGTTCAACTGCTAGCTCTTGTTTATGAATTTATAAATATATCATCTGTATGTTTAGTAGCATATGCTATTGGAGTAGTCACTATTTTGGGATCTGCTATAGTTACGAGTCATTTGCCTGGTACACAACTTGGTTCAACGATATTGAGAAATACTGAAAATATAACAAATATAAGCATAGATACAGAGATAGAGAAAGAAAGGATAAATCAAGATATTGAGATACCTGATATATTTACAACAATGGATTTTATACATGCTACAAAATCTTATAAAACATGTGAAAAAAATGAAGTAGTAAGCATATCTTGGAAATGTTGGATACATTCTATGAATACTTGGTTTCCTGACGATACATATTTGAAATCGCAACCAATGAACCATTTACACTTTACAGATTATAATCCATTTTCTACTATAAGTAAATTCATACTTGATACTAATTCTTCTACGGAATTAATTTTACAATGAAAAAGACTTGTATTAGAAATTTTTGGTTTAGAAATTTCTTTTCTGACAAGCAATGTCACATATATTTTCTGTAAACATTTATGAAAAAAAAAATTTTTTTCTACTTAAACTGCAGATAAAGTTTAGATAATTTACTTATAGATTTTATGAAAATTATATAAAAAAAAAAAGAATTATATATATATATATTTATCAGAAAAAATTATTATAAAAATTGAAAGTCCAATAATAATAATTATTGCAAATATTTAATATATAATCCATTGTAACACCAGGTAGAATGTTAAGATACGGAATTGACATTTGTGATATTTATAAATATAGTTTAAACGTATATCGATTAAAATTCGTAAAATTGTTTTTTATCGTTAAAATGTGCTGATAGTTTTATAAATATTTTTCCATGTGGTCGAAAATGCAGTAATAAATACATTGTAGAATAAATTTGTTTATCTATCACAGAAAAAGTCTACAGCTGGTATTGTTATCATTCCAATTAGACATCCTATCGTAATTCCAACCACTCTACCCTAAATCATAAGAGTTAAATATACTAATAATGTAGAATATAACACAATTTTAAAATAATTTAAATTCAAGACTTACCAAATTTACAGCCATCCTTGTCCTTCGTAATTTTGATTGTGCATTGCTTAAATATGGTCTTTTAATTCCTACCTTTTCTACTAAACTTTCTACCCAATTTGTAGATCCAATTCCTATTATATCAGATACAGTATTTCCTAAAGCTGCAGCTGCCATAGTTGAGATAGGAAACTTGTTGCTCAGAAACATTTCAATGTAGTCACCCTGAAAGTTCTAAGTTACAGATTGGAAAAATATATAATGTTAATATAATACATACAGCAACTATCATGATGGCGTTGTCGAGAAAACCAAAGGCAATGAATGGAATACTATTTATAAATGCAACTGGAAAATTTGTTTATATTATTATTTTAATCTCTTCTTATCTAATCTCTTCTTATTGTAAATCTTATTCTAAATTTCTGTTCATGGTATGTATAGATAGATTTTCATTACTACATTTATATTATATCATTTTATAGTCATTAAGATAGTATAATTACAGTAAATTTATTATATTACATACCTTTTAGAAGAACTCTATTACTCGGTCTTGCATCATTTTCAACTGTAATTTGAAAAAGAACAATGTAAATTTTATAGTGCACAACAATTTGTAATATGAAGAACTTCATATAGTATATTAAGGAAAGATTTGTTATGTGTTGTGTTTATTAATAGTATTACTTTATAAAATTTATGATATTAACAATAGCAATAATAATAATAATAATAATAATAATGATAATAATAATAATAATAATAATATAATAATAATAATAATAATAATGGTAATAATAAGGGTAAAGCATTATTAATTACAATTTAGTAATTGTTAAGAAATGTAAAAAAAACAATTGACATGCTTAATATTATCAATCAAGTACACATAAGTTTAAAAAGTGATAATTTATTAAAGTTAACATACATTGTTCAACTGGATGAATTTCTATGTATAGAAAAATACAATGAAATTACATACTGTTTTTAAATAGCATATTTTGCATTACAAAAGTATTACCATTATAAAAATAAAAAATTTTATCTTATAGAATGTATATAAAAATAATATCTTAATATTGAGAGAAAGTTAGTTAATTGAAAACAAAAACCTATTTATTGATTATATACAATTGAATATATATTATAACAAATTATTTATTAGTTAAGCATTAATACACTAAAATCTGCAAAATTAACATAAAAATACTTATAAATATAATATTACAAGGTTTATATCTTGTTGTCATGCATTTCTATAAAAGAGGAATATGATTTGTAACATGTGCAAGATAATGTTACTAGTATGACTTGTATGTGTGGAAGATTTTTTATTAAAATATACTAAATTATCTTAGATATTGAAATGGAACAATATAAGAAAATAGATCATTATAAATAATTTAGTAGAAAACTTATACATATATAAAAATAAATAAACTTACATATTAATATCCATAAAGAATGCAAAAATACAATTGCTTTTTAAGTATTAAAAAGAATAATAAATAAGTAATTCTCACATTGAAAGATATATTAAAAAGAAAAAAAAAAAAAGAAAGAAGCAAAATAAATGATTCTATTTGCATATATTATTTATGAGAATCATGAATTAAATAAAATTTTCAATAATAAATTTTCTTAACTCTATTTTTGTATAGAATTTATAAATTAAATACCGACTAGAATCGTTTGTTGATATTTGTCGAAAGAATTATATAAAGTAATAAAAGTATGTTTGTAAATTGTTTTCAAAAGAATGTTTCAATATTCCTACCAGACTTATGAAGAAGCCAATTTTCGGGTAGAGGACAGTAACTACCAGTAGGATCGACGTCACCTAGAGTAGGCAATTTTGTAGGCCTTCCAAGTTTACTTCTCCAACGAATACCCGCTAATTGAGCTAAAGAAAAAATATAAATTGGATTTTTAATGCCTTTCTTATATTTAATAATTACCTTCGTATGAAGCTTTATCATCCATAGATTTATATTTGTTCAAAACAGTCATTAAAATATTTCGTTCTTCTGGAGTTAATTTTTCTGCTAATATATTGGCCTGCTCTTTAGTTAGAACATTTGTAGTACCATTGTTAGAAATAATATCTTGTTTAAAGGAATATACTAAACAACTTTCATGAAATTTTCTCAATTTCATTCCTGAAATGGTTATGACGTTAAAAGGTGTGCCATCAGTTAGTCATATCTTATTTTTAAATATCACAAATTTACAATATTTATTTTCTTACCAAAATTGTTGATTCCTTTATGGAACAAGTACATTTCTCTACCTAATAAATTAATAAAAACTCGCATCTTCGATATATAGAACAATTGAAACACAAGAAATAAACTATACGATATTGCGATTATCTAAAGATATTAATGATGTATACAAATCAGGAATGTTATCGTTGAACGGAATACGTATCAATATTGCGAAATTAATTGAGATTAATTTCTTTTCTTTTTCTTTTCTTTTTTCCTTTTTTTCCAATGACAAATTAATTACAATTATTTACTGACTTATGCAATATTTAACAATAATAATTAAAATTTAATATCTCTCTTTGCTCTGTCTTATTGAATGAATCAATATAAAAACAAAACAGTTATACGTTAATACGCGCTATCACGAACATACTATTAGATCAATGAAGACTACTTTTGTCTTTTAAATCAGTAAACGGTATTGTTAGGGTTGTTCTTCACTATCATTCACTACATAAACGTGTATGACTTCAGCGATAGGTATGGCCAAAATATGAACTACAAGCACAATAGAGGAACAGTGTCATCACCATGCGCTTATCCTATCGATGTATAAACTCATATATAGATTATATCCCCTTGAGCGTAATCTAACAATCGTTAGATTAGTGTACAATAGAAATTGTTATGTGTAATAATAATAAATGCGAATAAAAAATTATACGCTATATATTTCTCTGAAGATAGAATAAAAAAGTATTTATTGATCGTATAAATTTTATATGTTTTGTTTTTGATTAAATTTATACGTATAACTAAAGATAAAAAAAAAAAATGTATGTATATATATATATATATATATATATATATATATATAAATATAAAGAAACGTAACACATTAAAAAGTTTTGTTTAAAAGGGAAAAGAAAAATTAATAAAAAAGGATATGCATCTTAAAGATCAATTTAAATCAATCACTCAATTTTATACTTTTGAAAGGAAAAGATTCAATAAAAAAGCCCCAATTAAAGTCTCTCAGAGAAAATAAAAAAAGCTGATCAGGAATTATTTGAATAAAATGTTTCAACGATGATCATGAACCGAAAATAATTAAATAAAAAATAATTATTTTTTTATTAATTAAAAATATTATAACACTTATAATTAATTGCTTATATTATAGTATTATTAGAGCTTATATCTTTAAACGCATGGAGTTTGATAGAATTAATTTTTAAACGGATTAAATAACAATACATTATTTTATTTATTTTTTAAATAAATTTAATTATATATTGGATTGAAATACATACTATGTCAGAATGTTTTCAAGCGTTTCCGTGGTGTAGTGGTTATCACATCCGCCTAACACGCGGAAGGTCCCCGGTTCGATCCCGGGCGGAAACAGTTTTTTTTTTTTATTTTTTTATTTCAACAAAATATAATTTTTCGAATAGTTGAAATGTTAAGATTTTTATTCGAAAGGTTTTTGTAACATAGAAAAAAGTTTCATGAAAAATTTTTTTTATTTAATAAAAAAAGCAAATAATTTTAACTATTATACTTAATAATAAAAAATCCCAAGGGTAGTTTCCGTGGTGTAGTGGTTATCACATCCGCCTAACACGCGGAAGGTCCCCGGTTCGATCCCGGGCGGAAACAATTTTTTTTTTTATTTTTTTATTTCAACAAAATACAATTTTCCGAATAGTTGAAATGTTAAGATTTTTATTCGAAAGATTTTTGTAACGTGGAAATAAATTTTATGAAAAATTTTTTTTATTTAATAAAAGAAGCAAATAATTTTAACAATTTTAATTAAATAACAAAAAATTTTAAGGGTAGTTTCCGTGGTGTAGTGGTTATCACATCCGCCTAACACGCGGAAGGTCCCCGGTTCGATCCCGGGCGGAAACAAACTTTTTCGTTTTTTTATTTATCCATTCAACAAAAAACAGTTTTCCGAATAGTTGAAATGTTAAGATTTTCATTCGAATGCTTTTATGTAACGTGGAAATAAATTTTATTAAAAGTTTTCTTTTATTTGATAAAGGAAAAAAATAATTTTAACAATCATAGTTCAATAAGAAAAGATTTTAAGGGTAGTTTCCGTGGTGTAGTGGTTATCACATCCGCCTAACACGCGGAAGGTCCCCGGTTCGATCCCGGGCGGAAACAATTATTTCTTTTATATTTTTTTTCTTCTTATATCATTTACAAATTATTAATTAAAATATAATTAATTTTATATACGTCAGCTATTAATAACGATTTGTTATTACGTATAATTTCTTTTTATTTACCATTAGATCTGTTGCATTTATTACTGGATAGATCTATGTAAGAAGTATCAATGTGTAAATTCATTCCGA